AACTAGTTGCCACCAGTTTAAGCATTGTCATTACTTTTTAAAAAAGCGTTTATTATAAATTTCCTATAGCTATATATTTTTAGTTAGATTTATAGGTTTAGGTGAAACTTGAAAGAAACCATTTTTCTAATGAATAGACTGAGTTGAGAATTTGTATTTCGCTTCAGGAATCAACTTTAGCATAGACACATATAAAGCGAAGAACTTATTTAAGGGAGAAAATCATACAAGGACCACCATTTTCTCTGGTGGAAAAATAAATGCTGTCACATTCTTCACAGAAGCGCCTTTACCTCGTTCGTCCTTAAGTCATTGTCATTTTGAATGTGGTGTTTATCAACCTTCCGTTGAAATTTTCAAATGTAACGAAGTTTCACATTAGTTTGGTAATAGATTAAGTGAAATAAATATAAATGGATAGACTTATCAACTGACTACTTTAAGATTTTGTGAGTAATAATATAATATTGGATTCACTTGATGTAGTTGATCTAGTTTAGCCCAATATTAATAATAGAGTAAACACCTTTTTTGGTTCCTGTCAATATCTACGAAATCATTTTTAGTCCCTGGTAATAAAAAAGGACTAAATTGGTTCTTAAAATTATGAAAAAAGGACCACGTTAATTCTTATGTCAACTCTTCCGTCACTAACGTGGCCCTTTTTACATATTATTAAGGATCAATTTGATTCTTTTTTATTGCCAGAGACTAAAAAGGATTTTGTAGATATTGCCAGAGACAAAAAAAATGATGTTTACTCTTAATAATATTCTCTCCCCCCTCAATATTACGTCACTCATGACATATCAATATTTTCAATCATATTGTTCGGATCAATTAAACTTGTATATTAATGTAATTGATTTCCACGCCAAGGTGCACCATATTACTTCATTTCTCCATCAGTAAAAGCCATTAAGGAAAAGTCACTATAGCTGAGGTCCTAGCTAGGTTTGATTCTGACACTATATCTAAATTAAAAATTAAGCAATAGTTCATACTTGATAGTGTGTGTACGTGGACTTGTATGTCCCTATTACGTTTAGTTGTTGCTGTTTACTATTTGGGTTCTTCTTGAAAGAATATGCAAGGCATAAGGAAATAAAACTGAAAAGTGGATGAAAAAAGAGAAAGAGGGGATTTGGGGTTAAGGGGGGGGGGGGGGGGGGGGGGGGTGGGGGGGGGGCTAAGGGGTGGTAGAAAGCACAAAACGTGGCAAACATGGGTTCAGGGAAATGAACTCTGGCTAGCCATCCACATACGGTTCAGAAAGAAAAATGGGGACCATTCAAGTGGAGATATTCAATATGCTCTTTTTGCTTAATGTTGATTTGTGAATCAAACAAAAATGGCAAGTAGCCTGGAATGAACATTAATTGGATTTGGCAGATCAACCTCACCATTTGTTCTGTATTGATTTGACATGACTCCACACGCTGGCTTCCTCCATTAATCGGTAACTTTTCTAAAATAAATAAATAAATCATGCACAAGATAAAAGAAAATCCAAATATGGAACGATACATGTATATAAATTTTATAATAGTTATGCTGTAGAAAAAGTGATTGTGTAAATACTAAAAAAAAAAAAAGTGATTGTATAATGTTATAGGATTCGTTTTGCGTGCCGAAGTTTTTGTTTTTTTTTTGTTTCAAAAAATGTGGGTTCCACAAAATGTTGTGTGTGTAGGAAACTTTCTTGTGTCATGTGAAATGATAAATACAAATCCCTATGTATATATATATATATATATATATATATATAGGGTTTATAATTCTCAAGTTACATGAGAATTAGAATCTTATGATGTAGAGACAAAAAGTATGTGAAACCTATATGTTAGAAAAAGTTATGTGTAGGACCCATGTCAGCACGGAAATATAAGAGTGTGTAGGAAAGTTTGTTGTGTCATGCATGTTAAATAACAAATACAAACCTCGTATATATATATATATATATATATATATAGGAAAAGTTAATCTTATGTTACCGAAGACAAGCTTCCATTCCTGCTGATACATCGGTTTGAGTGGTATTTTTTTTTTTAAATAAATAGCTGGGGCCCATGCTCTGGTGTGTCTATGACTGAAGATAAAATGTCTTCTATTGAATGAGACTATTAAATCCCTATATATATGTATATATATATATAGGCTATTGTACGTTATGTCATGTCCTTAAAATTTGCATATGCCAAATGTAATATAGATTATCATCGTGTTCTCTCCTTCTCCCTGGGGAGCTCATTTTCGGTATATTAAGAATACATATTTCTTTACCAAAAATATAAAAATATAGAAAATGAGTGGAAATAAATATGAAAATAAAAATAATATAAAAATATTATTTTTTATTATATTTAATTAAAGATATTTTAAATGCTCAATACAATGGTAGTATTGAAAATATTATTCTCCCTATACTAAGGAGCTCTTTTTAGTACAACATGTGTACGTACATCAGTCATTCAAAATCAAACATGTATATTTTAAACAGTATTTCTCTCTCTTACTTGTCAGTATCGGTGTTTTGTATTTAGTTTTAATTGGATACAGGTATAGAAAGTTTGTTGCTACGGTAATATTTTAGAAATTTTCCTATGCTAGGTGAGCGATTTAGGAGGCTGTTTGATATGAGATTTTCCTACAAATCCTGGGTGGGAAAGTGGGATGAGGCAAATTTTTTTCCAACATTTGATATGAGAAAACTGAAAATAATTTCAGTAAAATATTTTTCTATCATTCCATCTTACACATCATATTTCCAAACGAAAATACCATTTAATAAATTCCCAAAAAAAATTTGGCTCTCCGAAACACCTTTTCATAACTTACTCGGAAAAAAAAAAATTCAACCATTTCCCAAAATTCCTTTTGTTTTTTGATAAAAAAGAAATATCTCTTCTACCAAATATCCCCTTAAAATAACTTTAAAATATACCTGCCCAACACGACCTGTTTTCATGAAGCCCACGTTATATACTTCGGCCAACATAATCATTTTTGTAAGCCCAAAACTCGATTGTTTATTCTTGACCCATGATCTGGAATTAGAATGAGGCCCTACGTACACCACCTGTTCTAAATTGTCTAGCCCAAAAATTATGATTTAGCATGACTTAATATTTGATCTTGATAATTCGTATAAATCTAACGTTCTAAATTTATTCACATAAATTCTCACATACATTTGACTTCCTCACTAGAATAATATTTCATTTTGCATTAGGCTTTAAGAAATTATAATATATATTTCTTTTTCCTTCTTTCGTGGGATAATCTGTATTTAAGTCAAGCATCCAGAGAAAAAAAAAAAAAAAAACACATAACTTGGGAAGATGTTAAACAGGGTTTGAAGCTACTGAAAATATAAATTCCAGACGAGTCATGTATCATTTTTCTAAACTTAAAAAGCATGTTATTGACTTGTTATATTATGGTTGACAAATCCATGGTTTTCATTGACTAAACAAATAGAATAATCAAATTGCTTGCTCTGTCCGAATCACCTTACCGTGGTTCATACTTTAATTACTTGTATTTGATTTTATTTGTCCACCTTTTCTTGAAGTTTACTGTTAGTAATCGTGGAAATGAATCATACGATTTTGAATTCCCCAATCCTTTCTTATGTTACATGAGAAGAATTACCTGAGAGACAATATCACAAGCAGGATCTACAGGCAAGAGAAGAGAGAAAAAATAAATATGAGATCCATATTTATTTTATGTGTAAGAACTTGTCTTCTGTCATATGAAATGAAAGAAATATTATGAAGTTATGAACAGAAATTTTGTAATTAACTAGTAATTAACCTCGTAAAGTTAGTAACTAATGTACTCAAATATAATTATTTTTTTGGAATTAACTCAACCATAATTATTTTTTTAAGGCGAGTTAGTTCCTCCTGGTATTTTCACAAATTTCGACTCTTTGATTCGGCTATAAAATTAATCCGGAGTGTGAGACGAGTCAAGGATGAAAGATAGTTAAACCCCTCTCAATTGTGATATGTGAGGATCGAACAATGTACTAATATTTAATAACCACAAAGAATTTTTTTCTTCTTATTTATGTTCCTATAATAATTTTGAATAATGAATATATGGAATTCTTCGTACAATCATCTCATTCTCACATATTAAACATGGAGAGCTTATCCTGACGTATATAATAATTTCTTGTATGTGTATGATTAGATGTTGATGAACCAAAGACCAATATATTGATTGGTGGCCAAAATTTTGGTAGCATGTAAAATTAAAACCAATATATTGCATCCTTGGCTATTGAAATATGAAAACCCGGTTTCCATTACTTTCACATACTATGTGCGGTTGATATAAACTAATGAGTGATCCTACAATTATTATGTCATGTCTATGTTACAGTTATGTTGACCACAAATGGTCAATAAAATAAAGCATATGGGCTTATTCAGATTGATTCATTATGCTACAACAGCATCCAGACAAAACCGCCCACTGGTTGATTTGCTGCATCTATAATCTCTTTCTGCATTTTGCTTCAATGCAACCATTTTTCTGTGCCACAGCCCCCGGTTTTTTGTGTTATAGTTGAATTGCTGATTTACCAGAACATGGAATGTCTTATCTACAGTGGCTTTACGTGGACTCTAAAATAATAGCTACTTGAAATAACAGTAACACCGACCGAAATTGGACTTCAAAAAGCAATAGAGAAGTGAAAGAAGCAAGACTTTGATTACAAGGAAAAAATCTGATTGCCCATCTAAACAAAAGAATAAAAGAATTGTAAAGGATCACATGATTATAGAGAAATGAGGTGGAACTTTCCATTCTCAAGGCACAGAAAACAAAATGTTCACTCTTTTTTAGTCTATGCTAAATATTGATTTCAAACTATTTAATTAGCCTTTAGTTACAGTGTTAAGACAGATTTAAATCTTTGTTAGCACTATATATACCACCTCCATTCATTTATCTTCAGCAAACAAATATTTAGCTCAACAGATATGGCAATCCCTGTGATAGATTTCAGCACTCTCAATGGAGACAAGAAGGGTGAAACCATGGCACTTCTGCATGAAGCTTGTGAAAAATGGGGCTTTTTTCTGGTAAATAGAATAAGTTTTGTGTTAACTTTCAATCACTTCTTAGTTAACTATTTTTTTTTATTTATTTAACAAATTAGAAGGGCCGGCCTGGCTCAGCGGTAAGCTTGCTTACCGTGGTGTTCCAGGTCAGGGGTTCGACTCAGTCCCCCTGCAAAGCAGGGATGAGGCTTGACTCAAATTTCTCTTCCCCAGACACTCACGGAGTGGGTCTTGAATTGGGTCGGCCCTTTATTTATTTAACAAATTACTTGTGCAGATTGAGAACCATGGAATTGACAGGAACCTGATGGAGAAGGTGAAGCAGTTAATCAATGTTTACTATGAAGAAAACCTGAAGGAAAGCTTCTACCAGTCAGAGATAGCAAAGAGCTTGGAACAAAAACAGAACACCTCTGATATAGATTGGGAAAGTGCCTTCTTCATTTGGCATCGCCCTACATCTAACATTAACCATATTCCAAACTTCTCTGAGGAGCTTTGGTTAGCCAACTCAACCTTTGTGGCTTATAAAAGAATAACACTATATCTCTTTCTCTCTTAACACACACATGCACATTCACATAATCTGATACCATGTTTATTTATATATATGTAAATGCAGCCAAACAATGGATGAGTACATTGAAGAACTCATTAAGTTGGCAGAAAAGTTATCTGAGCTCATGAGTGAAAATCTTGGTTTGGAGAAGGATTACATAAAGGAAGCATTTTCTAAAAGTAATGGACCTGCTATGGGAACAAAAGTGGCCAAGTACCCTCAATGTCCACAACCAGAATTGGTGAGAGGACTTAGAGAGCACACAGATGCAGGTGGTATCATACTATTGCTCCAAGATGACAAAGTGCCTGGTCTAGAATTCTACAAAGATGGCAAATGGGTGGAGATCCCACCCTCCAAGAACAATGCAATTTTTGTCAACACAGGTGATCAAGTGGAAGTGTTGAGCAATGGCTTATATAAAAGTGTTGTGCATAGGGTCATGCCTGACAAGAATGGAAGCAGATTATCCATTGCAAGCTTCTATAATCCATCTGGTGAAGCCATTATTTGCCCTGCTCCTAAGCTCTTATACCCAAGTAACTACCGTTTTGGAGACTATTTGAAACTTTATGGCAACACTAAGTTCGGTGAAAAGGGTTATAGATTTGAATCCATCAAGAATATGGCCAATGGCCACTAAAATCGTCTACCTTATAAAAGAAAATAAGTGTGTACCAATACCCTTGACTCCTAGTTAAATTTACAAGTCATGTTCCATAAATTCCCCCTCAAAAAAAAAAAAAAAAAAAAAACATAGCCAAGAAAGGAAAATGTAACTGGAGACACGTTTCATTTTTCATTTTATTTTGTTAGTTTTAGTATGAATAACGAAGAAATACATGTTTTTTTATGTTACTTTTTAATTCCAGAACCAGCAGATGGGGGAATATTATATATGATGTTTTTTCTTTATTCATCCTTTTCTCTTCTCTGCTTTCTTCTTTCTTTCTTTCTTTCTTTTCTCTGCCATTGTTTTGAATTTTTCATGAACATGAAAATTATATATGATGCTTTGCTAAAGAACAACGAGGAATTGTCCACGAGAAACGACCGGTTCTTCACAATATTTGTTCATTGATCAATTCAGCGACCCAATAAAAATTTAACCTGCATAATTTAGAATAATGTAAGAGATAAGTCACTTCCACGCTTATATTTACATAATTTTTGTCATCAAATTATAATTGATTTCACTTTATTTTACTTCCACGCTTATATTTACATAATTTTTGTCATTAAATTATAATTAATTTTACTTTATTCTTGAACATATCTATACTCTAATTTTACTACCTAGCTCTAGCTCTAGCTCGAGGGACGTGCACAAAAAGTGTGATGCACCAAGCAATATTACATATTGTAATTCCAAATCCAATCTCGAACTCACACAAGAACATATACTGTGTGAGGTATGAATCCTCCACCTCTCATACACACAAAAGTTGGGGCGTTCCCGATTCGGATTAGATCGGTTTTGAAGTAAAAATTATTTTATCTTTTAATCATTTATTTGATTTGGATTTTTTTTTAAATTTGATCCAATCTAATTTTATTCGGTTTGAATTTAATTGGTTTTGAAGTTTTCTAAAGCCTAAAATTTCAGTCATACAAATCACTAGTTATATTAAAATAAAGCCATTTAAAATTACAAACAATTGAAAAATTTAAATCTTCAAAATAAAACAAGTCTTAAAACTCACGAAGAGTTAAAATAGATTAATAGACAATAAAAAATTAAAATGAGATAATTTACTATTAATAACATTCAAAATTCCAAGTCTACAAAATAACAAAATTTTAAGTCACCGTCTTTCGAAAATAATAAAATATAATATATTGAATCAGTTTTCACCGACCAAACCAAAAATCGATTCAATTCAATTAAAATATGCAAGTTTCTTTCGATTTTTCAATTTTTGATTAATTCAGTTATTAGTGTTTTGATTCAGTGATTTGAATCAGTTTAGATATGTTGATGAACACCCAAAACAAAAGCATAGAAGAGTTGGAAAACCAAGCTAAAGATAGAGGCTCCACCACCATCTTCATATATATGCTACTCCACTTCATGTGTCAACTTCCAAAAACCATATTTGCTAAGTCTAGAAAAGTAAAGCAAAGGATCCATCCCATGGGGGTAAGTAACAACATCACTGCAGTGCTCAACTTCATAGCCCTTTTGGCTTCAATACCCATCATAGCCACTGGTGTATGGTTAGCATCCAAACCAGACAACGAGTGCATCCACAGCTTCAGATGGCACGTGCTCATCCTTGGCCTTCTCATACTCCTTGTTTCTCTTTCTGGCTTTGTCGGTGCTTATTGGAACAAACAAGGCCTCTTGGCTTTTTACCTTTGCTCTATGGCAATCCTCATCGCTCTTCTCCTTTTCCTCCTTGTCTTTGCCTTCATCGTTACTCGACCCAATGGAAGTTACGTTGTTCCAGGAAGAGGCTACAAGGAGTCCAGGCTTGATGGCTTCTCTTCCTGGCTCAGGAACCATGTCACTGCTTCTGGGAGTTGGCACAAGATAAGGACTTGTTTGGCTGATTCTAATGTCTGCATTAAGCTCACCCAGGATTACATCACTGCTGATCAATTCTTCAACTCTCATATCTCTCCTTTACAGGTCATGAAAGAAGCAAATTTGTTTACTCTGTTAATTATTAGTGTTTCTTCTTTTCAATTTACTGAACTGAACTCTGTATTCAGGTGTACTTGCACTGCAGTAAGGTCCTTACTTCCCTAATTAGTCACTGGTTTTCTCTTTCTTCCTTAGTGTTAGTGTTGGAGATATAAAAAATCATTAATCTAGTCAAACCCAATTGCTTAAGCTTTTGAACTGAAATAGTTCTTTATGATATCAGAGTCTTAATATTACGGGAGTTCGATCCTTATCGCTACTCATTTATTAATAATTATGTCTTGTCGAGTTTCTTAATATAGGTTGACTAGACCTGTATATTATTCATCGTTCCAGCTCAGTGAGCTCTCGTGTGAAAAAACATGTTAGAGATATATAAAATCATTAATGTAATCTTACCCAATAACTTAAGCTTTTAGATTGGTTGAAATGATTCTTTAAACAAACAAAAATTGGTCATAAAGATATTTGCTTTACTTTATGGGAAAAGTGTGTATAATTTTAAAGGATGTAAAGTTGTGTCATTTTAAGAGAGAGAAAGAGATAGATTAAGGAGGAGAGAGAGTTGACAAAAAAAAATAAAAGTGTGGGTCCCACCTCTTTGTGAGAGTGAAAGGATGTAAGTTGTGTAATTTTAAATGATAGACACTTTTCCCTTACTTTATTCACGTTGCTCACACTAACAAGTCACCATGTTACATGTTTAGGACACTTCCAGTTGCTGATCTTGAATTTTTTTAAAACAAATGTAGGAATTCACATTATGCATAGAGGATGAATAAACTTTGACTTCATGGGTTTTATATTGCTTTTGATTTTACATATGACTCTGTTGAGAATCAGATTGGCATTAACAGTGAGTGAAGCATGGCACTAACAGATAAGATAGGCGTAGCTGTGAAGTTGAGTCAGAAAAGAAGAGTGGGTGGGACCTGGTTTTCCATCTAATTCTTAACTTGAGAATGCATCATTAGTAGAAGACATTAGACACTCCATTAACATCAGCTAAAATAGGAAAATGTTTATGCCCCTAGAAAGATCCACCAACTAATTCACTTTACAGATTAATCATGAAATTTTAGACCAGGTTAAATCAATCAGCCAAGAATAGCTAAGCTATTGTTTGTTATTGCATATGATAATAGAAGTCATTTTATGGTTGCCAGGTTGTGGCCTGTGTGGCAGCATGGTTTTTTTGGGTTGTTTTTTTTAAGGAAAATCTACTTCGTATATTGCTGCAAAAAAATTTTGTTATGTTACATCAACCGATTATAACTATATATTTTTAAGATTATAACTATGTATTGCCAGAAATACATAGTTATAATCGGTTGATATAACATAAGAAAAAAAGGACCCTTTCTTTAACTCTCTACTTTTTAGTACTCCTGTCTTTTTTGTTTTTTCCTTGGAAAATAAAACTCTTTTATTACTTATGTTAATCAATTCCCTCCATTGTTTTAACAGTCAGGGTGTTGTAAACCTCCAACTGCATGCGGGTACAACTATGTAAACCCAATACTATGGGTAAACCCTGTGAATCCAATGGCAGACCCGGATTGCTACTTGTGGAATAATGACCAGAACCAGCTCTGCTACAAGTGCAATGCATGCAAGGCAGGTCTACTGGGGAACCTCAGAAAAGAGTGGAGGAAAGCTAATATCATTTTGATTGTGGCTGTGTTGGTCCTCATATGGGTCTATGTCATTGCTTGTAGTGCCTTCAAAAATGCTCAAACAGAAGACCTCTTCCGCCGTTACAAAAGGGGTTGGGTTTGATCCTGTTTCCTCCAAACACATTCAAGGACTTTTAAGTCTCTCTCTCTCTTTCTCATTTCTGTAAGAATCTTTTTCACTAGTGTATATATTCCTTTTCTGGTTTTCTCTTTGGAGTATGGAGTGACAGGTATTGGAACCAAGTGGTGCAGGAAGAGATCTTCTAAGTTCAAACTAGTTAATACTAGTCTCATTGCTCAGTGAAAAATGAGAATAGAATACTCATTCCAGCTTTCCTCATATTATATATATAATTCTTTTATGTCAAATTGTCAATGGTTTCTTGCATATATCTTTTAAAATACACCTTGGTACTTTGATGCTGGTATGACACATTCTTCACATGCATGTGCATGGGGAACCCACTTTAGTTGCATTTTAATTGCCTGTTCAAAACAAAAAGGCAACCGACACAACAATCTGTAAAGAAACGAGTGCTTTTGAATTTTGATGCTTCAAGATCTCACATGAACCGAAAGATAGATCTTCCCCAACTAGCATTTTTTTATGAATGATAGTAAAGTACAAAAAACGTGAAGTTCAGAATTCAAATTGTAGTGTGTAGAACGAGTTGAGCTAAACCAATATTCCACAAGAGGAAAAAAAATAAAATAATTTGTTTGGAGAGTTTGAGTACATTGCCATGAAGGACCTTGCGCACAACAAACATTGCTATAAAAAAATGACATGCAATATATTCTCCCATCAGAGTCACTCTAATAAGTACATAAATTCTAAAAATTCCTAGTCCAAATGTTTCTTAAGCAGTAGACAGCTTCCTAGAGTACACAATGTACATAGGATCAGAGCGTCCAGGATTAGGAGATATATCAACAGCCTACAGAAAAATGTAAACGGCATTAAGCCCTGGATTGACCTCAGCAATGGAAACACTATAATATCATATAAAAAATTGCAGAAACTTGTCATCACATCAAAATTGTTTTGTGACTAGTAAAATTTAAAAATTCTGCTTTATATATAGGGATAAGAAGCAGTGGAAGAAATTACCCTTCAGCATTAGTTGAAACCATACTATAGTATGTTAAAAACTGAACTTTAACAAATGACAAAATATTTAGTTATGAAAGAAAAGAAAAACGCCGTGGGGGCATGTGAAACATGGTTGGATTATGCATGCTTAATCACAAATGGCTAGTTTTGTTGCGTGCAGAGTTATGATTTAGAATCTATGACCGTGCAGATAGCTAATTGTCTTTCACATGGGCATGGAAAGAAAATATCAATTGTGGAATTACCTGAGGAGGTTCAAATCCTCCAGCATAATGGAAATAAGACCCAACAATCATAACATGATCAGCATCCCCAGTTGATGTCCATATAGAAATGGCTTTTGTCCAAAAGCATCGGTTTGAAAAGCTAAAATCATCAATTGTAACCGTTAGTTCAATAGGACATAATAGATAAGATAGCACATCATTAAACTGAGAACAGGCATTACTGAAAAGATGAAGTATTCGTTTATATGCAATACGAAATAAAGAAACATTTGCCTACATTCTGATACATGTGGAAATAAATCTTAGCAGGTGAAGAGTAACAGAGCTTGGTTATGATCGCAACATGAGCTGAACTGTTAAAAAGTTCATTGACTCTAAAAAATGGCATTTCAAATATCATTAGAAGAGCCACTTATAATGAATGGTGTAAAATTGTCAACCACATTTGAAGTTGCATCTATTTTAGTATGAAATTTCTTGCAGATTGCTTTATAAATGCTAAGTTCATTGGTTTTAAATAATTAGGTGAGGATAAAATATAACATTTTATATCTCCATATGTCTGGTACTTTACCCTTCTTTTGTGTCTTCTTTCCTCCTCTTCCAGAAGCATCTAGGAATTTTCTAAACTTAATTTCTTAATCTGGAATATTATCCTAGATGATGGATTATTGAAAGGGTCCAGAAATTTTTTGAGAATGGATTATTTAGTTGTATTCAAATAATTAAGAGCATGTGTTCGATCCTCCCAAATACCGTCTTTGGGAAGGGTTTAAAGCCTTAATCCCGGGACCCGCCCCGAATCAGACTAATCGCGAAGCGATGAACCGATTGGAATATCTCCGAAAAAAAAAAGATAATTAAATATCCAAGAAAGTGATGATTTTACACGAAAGTGCTTAATGACAAATTTTCTTTCAATTACCAGATTTGACAAAACTGGTAATCTGAAGTAATTTCAAAATGATAGTTATCAAGATTATCACCTCATTATGGCCAGTCCACCTGGCTTGAGTATCCTGCGCATCTCCTTGAACACATCAAGAGGCTTTGTTAGGTAATCAACACTGACCTGCAGGGAATATTCAATTTTCAAGGTCTAAATGGCTGACATATATACCAAGCAAGAACTTGGACACAATTTTAGCCCCAAAAGCTTTAAATGAGGGGGAAAACCCTGGAGTCTCTTGCACCAAAAAAAATAAAAATAAAAATCCCTAGAGGCTTACATTCGCTTGAAATTCAGTCCTATTTCTAATTCAATCAGCAGTTTGATTCTGTAAACAGCCCAGAAACTTATGACAGTCATTTTAATCGCACAATGCAATTCCCGTGTAGTTAAAGAGTGCTTTAAATCAGCTAATTTTGTGAAGAAACAGTAAAGTTATTGAACAGGGAAGGTCCATTTTCATCAATAGGATAACCTAAAACTAGTGAACAGTTTTAGGTCTAAGAAATTTAATTATCAAAGTTTATAATAAAAGAATTGTAATTCAACTATATGATGAAATTATTCCTATCTATCTTTTTAACATACAAGCAGCATGTATGTCATAACTTGTAGTTATAGTGGTATCATCAATGTTTAGTGTGGTCGTTACATAAAATTTCTTATGGCAGAATGCTAAACTCAAAATTGTAATAGCTGAACCCAAGCTATACTTATTGACAAGATAAACTTTTATTATAAGAGATTAGAAGAAAAATAAAAAATTCAAAGAAAATACTGCAAAAATATACATCATACAAGTATGAGCCAATAGCATGCATCAAATGCAATGGTTTCAAGCACCAAAGATAAGATATAAAAACCCTTCCCCGTTAAACCCGACTAGCGAGTGTGGGGTGGAGGAAATCCTTGCACGCGGCCTTACCCTTGCATAATTGCAAAGAGACTGTTTCCTGAATTTGTACCAAAGATAAGATATATGGAAAAGTATTTGTACCACATTAGTGATGATGTCAAAAGAGTTATCCGCAAACGGGAGTGTGGGGTTCACATTTAAGTCTTGCACAACATACTCCGTGAGAACCTACATCATCAACAACTTCTATTAGTGGAGCCACATTTCTCTAGCAGAGTAGATATGTTAAGAATCTTGAGATATAGCCATGTCACTATTTTTGAATTGAATTAAGTAGTGGCTTAATTATTATATTCAGGCTATAGGCTCTTGAACAGATATGGAAAACCAATCTAAACAAGTTATCGTAAGGGTATGAAATTCAGTTCCAAAATTAAAGGCCAATGGCCACCACATAGCATAGAAAGGGCATTGTTTTACCGGGTTCCTTTTCAGCTCTTCTTCATTCATACCTAATCCCACCACTCGTTCTTGCTTGTATCCTGATGGAAAATGGCTGACCTAATGCAAAGTAAAGATTTATGACAATATGTATATGCAGCACATCACAAGAGAAACTGAGTTACAGTTCTACTACTCTTACCCAACTGCTACACATATCCAAGATGCTTACTCCAGGAGTGTTACTAGGAGGGAATACTTCGGAGTAATACTTAGTCAGAGCAGCAATGGCAGGGTCATCAATATGTGTCACAAATCGAGGTGCTTCATAGAACATGGAATCTGAGGACCTACAAGTGGATTATATAAAAAAGACTAACAAAAAAGAAGGGGATAAGAAATGTTTGAACCCACAAGTGGATTACAAACAGTGAAGAATCTATATAGCATATAACTTTAAGGTACAAATAAGAAGACTGAAAACAAAAACTTCAATAACACAGTAAAAAAATAAAAAACACTCTCCATTAAACCCTGCTTAACGAGGATAAGGGTGAAGGTAATTCTTGTATATGGTCTTACCCTTATAAATTTGCAAAGAGACTATTTCCCAAATTTAAACTCATGACCTTTTTCAGCCTAAACAGATTTATTATGGCTCCAGGTTTGCCCTCTTTTCAATAACACAACACCATACGTGGATAAAAAATATGTATTTCTTTCATATTTAAGCCATGCTTTATTACCTATTCTAAAATATAAATTACAGAGATTGTAAACCCTTAAAAAGTTGATTGTGCCTTTAGTACTTGATTTATATGCACACCGATAACTATAATATACATATAAAGGAAATGGAAAGGCTCCCTTTAGTTTAAAATTACAAGTCCCAATAAGTTTTAAAGATGACCCACATGTCAACATGTCTTTCTCAGTAACAATGAATTGTGTAGCACAAATGCACAATCCATGATTGCTAGGCCTAGATAATCCATAAGGTACAAGAAATTCTACTATGTTAAGACACCAGGGTAACTCCCATCTGTATGATATGGGATTTCTTCAGTTATTCTTTACACAAACAAATGTAAAAACATAGTTCAGAAAGCAAATTGATTACTTCAAGGGCAAAAAACACAATCATAATTCTTCAATCAACTAGAGGAGAAATTTACTCATCAAAGCGCTGAAAATCCTCCTCCTTGAAGGGGAACTGCTCTGGCCATTCCACTTTCTTCAACATCTGCAAAATGGGGTGGAACACAAGACTTTAGCAATTCGAGACATGTTGACACCAAGGACGATGGATCAGTAGAGCAAAAATTGTACAGAAATAGGTGAAATAACTCTTCTGAATTGTTTGAATTATTTCACATATCAATTGACTTGTCCTGGTTCAGTGCTCGAATCATGAGGCAAATTACATCTCTGTGGTATAACATATTCATTATTCAGCTGTAGCACCAATAGACCATCAAACCTTTAATTAGGGGCAAAAGGGAATTATTATTAACCAAAGATACCTAGTATTCAATTGATTAAAGGAACACTCATTGGTCCTCTAGAGTAACCAATTTTCAAGATAAAAAAAAGTGGAACAACCTAGAAAAGTCAACTAACTAATGCAAAATTGAAGTAGTTTAACAAGGAGAGTTGAAGAAAAGAAGATTAAAAGAATCAAAGAAGTTTGATATCACCTCATCCACAGAGGGACCACCCTTTATCCTGGCAGAAGCAATGAAGGGTTTGCTACCCCCAGCACCAGCCATACTCATAAACTGAGCCAAGAATGAAGCTCCAATGCCCAATAGCATGCGGCGAGGAGCCTTAACTCTTCTGTTCCACTTGTTTATTACTGCTCTTGAAAGAGTAGCTGCAGTAGCAGAAGAGGAACTCACAACAACACTAGTAACATGATGTGTTGGACAACAGGAACAAACGCCACACACAACTGGTAACCTCGTGTGGAACCTAAGTCCAAGAAAATTAGCCATCTTGGAACCTTCACTTAAGCCATGCTGTTACTCACTATTCTTTCTAAATGAAACTACTAGGACCACTGTCACTGTTGGAATTGGATTATCCTCAAACATCTTTCATGGGTCGAAGCTTCATCTCATTCAAGTGATGCACATGCAGGTTACGTGGCTACCTATCTTCTATGAGTTGCTACTAGCATAAACTAAAAAATGTTGCATACAAAATTTATAGAAAAAGTGTTTTTCATTTTAAATAATATGAGTTTGTGACATTTCATAAACATAAAGAGGTATTGATCTCATGAAAGTAAATAAAGTCAAAACAAATAAAAGTGTGAGTCTCACTTCTTTGTGTTTATGAAATGACACAACTTGTATCATTTAAAATGACACACCCTCTTTTCATAATTTATTAACTATAAAATAAACGAAATGCAAATTGTCCTATGCAACGTTTTCTGATTAATCAATTACAAGAATGTCTCATAATTCACACATGATACAAAACAAAGTTCTTGCTATTATAATTTTTTTTTTCACTACAAACATGTATGTATGTATTGAAATGAAAGAAAATTAAAAAGGTATATGTATAAATGTGTTAAGCTTCTAGATATCAATTTCAAAATTATTGAAGGTAGTTGTGAGTTGTGAACTGAGATGTATGAATAAAATCCAAACAAAGATAACATAATTTGTTCGGACTTGACTTCTAGGCCCATCTTGACAAACTTGTATGAAATTACTAGAGAGTTTGACTTGAGCCAATGGCCCAGTTCATGAACGTAGCCATGAGAAAACAAAAAAACAAAACAGCAAGATTCTCACTTTTGTATGATACAAAATAGCAGGGTCAAAGCCAACAGGAACCAGGAAAATAAAATAGAATAAATGAAGCATGGCACCCGTAGAAGAATTTATCGTAAAATAACAAAAAACAGTTCACAAAGCTTTCAACATCTTCTATAAATTAATAGAGAAAAAAGAAAATTTATGAGAACTTTGAATAAATTTACTCATGACGAATTGTGTTGGATAATAACTAGCTGCGGATTGTTAATCGTTTATCAAATTGATACCAATTATCAATTTCTTTGTAAAGTTAATTGTGCGAGTATCATTCCTTGAAAAGCTTGAAATCAATTTAATATCTAAATCATGGACATGTTATTCTACCTATCATTTTTTTTTTCTACCATTTTAAAATATCATTAGATCAGAATCTTAAGTAACATTTATCTTTCTCTCTTCTTGAGATTCTGATCTAACGGTACTGGAGGGTGTAGGCAAAAGTAAGCAGAAAAAATGATAGGTAGAATAACTTATCCCGTAAACCATATAGATTAATTTTTTTTTTTTTTGTTGAAACCATAAAGATCAGTTGTCACAACGAATTGCCTAATAATGTTGACTCAATGTTCTTATAATTTTACAAGGAAGTTGATTTTTTATACCTAAACGTCACTACCTCTTATTAAAAAAAAAAAAAAAATAGATATCAAAGACAAATTTTCATTTTTACTTTACTTTATGAAACCAAGAATTTGAGACCGTCAATGTAACTTCTCATTTTTATTGTCAATGTAGTAAGTTTATTTGATTATTTGGTTCTAATGAATCGAGTTGTCTTTTCATTGGATATCAATTCAATACTAAGAGCTCAAAAATGAAAACAAGTTCCAGCTTTATTATAGGACAAATAAAAACCAAAACAAGATCTAATCATTTTCAACTAAAAGACAAATAGATAAACAAGAGGTTTAATAGAACTACCATCAAATATAACTAAACTAGATGTGCTGTCTTCGTGGGTGATTAGGTATGTGGACCTACTATGGACGTGACATCTCATTTGAGCCATGAAGTTACAAATTTAATGACAAAAGATGTCACAAGCAACAGAAAACACATCATATAATATTGCTTGCAAGCTTGCAGCAACTATATATGTATAACCATAAGTAAATATAAAAGTTCCAAGTGTGAGTTTGAATCCAACAATGATTGCAAGTATATAGAATACAATATGGTTTGCATAACCAAAAATTGAACAAATTAAGTTCTCATTTATGTCATGGATCATCTAAAAGATAATGACGAATAACCAATACAAAATAATGTGCTACAGCATAAACCATTCTTGAAACTTCATAGTGTGAAGTTATTTAGATTCAATTAATAAGTGTGAAATGAAATTTAAATAAATACATTATAAGTTTGGCCTACCTTGTACATAATTACTTCGTTAGCCTAATGATAAAGAATTAATACTTCCCTCAAGAGCAAGTACCCAATTGTCGCCATTTTGCTATGATTTAATTCACCCATTCTCTTCTTAGAAAATCGATTTTTTTTTTTTAAAATAAAAGATTCAAATTCAATCATATGACATCGGAATTCTTTAAAAAATAGTTGTTTCCATTAAGCATTTAGTAATCTATGGATTTGATGAGACCTTTTTCCTTCTTTAATACCAATTGCTTTTTACAATGTAATACGCAACTTAAGATAACAACCAACCAAAGATCTAAATAAGTAATTTTCTTTATTAAACAAAGTTGATAACGGCAAGCTATGTCGCTTTAATTCTTCATATTTGGTTAAGAAATTTGACAATAATTACTTTTCTAGACATTTCAAGGAAACTTTGCCCATGAATTTTCTTTCTTTTTCTTTTTTCTTTTTCCCTTTCATTTCTTAGTCATTATACTACTTATAAATTATTTGTAGATCACTAGCATCCAATCCAATATTTCAAGATACATTGCATTAAAAAAGGCTAAAACTTTTTGCTGGGGTTTGATGTTACCTACTTCATGTGTCGGATAAGTGATGTGCATTACATGCAAAGGAAGTAGCTAAGTGTCATTGGCGCCCTTCAATGAGTCATTTTATATCCATTACCAAACACAACTTTGAGATATTTTTTCAATTATTGAGGTTAGGATGTGTCCCACGAAGTTTTGTTAATATGCCTTCACTTGAGTTGTCTTGTGCGAGAAAAATACAAGTGAAGTAGAAAGTGACATTTTAAATTTGTGAGATACATATATAATCATTGTTGTTAAAATCTCGATTTATCACTACAATTTTATGTTTTTATGATTTTTTTACATCAAAATGATTTTATTAATATTCCAAACGCTTTTACGATTTTTTACGATTTTTTTAAATTACAATTTTACGTATTACGATTTTTTAATCCCCTTCCGATTTTACTTAAGATCTCGATTTTAACAACATTGTATATAATCATAAACAATTACAAGTAGATCTTGACCGTACCAAACACAAGTAGATCACAAGCGCACACAAGATGCTGTTTCTACAAGATATGTAATGGTTAATTACCATTGATTCCGATATAAAAGTCCATTATTAGTATTATAATGACTACATGAACGGAGGTTCAATATAGATTCCAATTGACGGACTCAAAGCAATTATGTACTCGTATATTTTTTATGTAATGAGTAATGACAACGCGTTTTGTATAGTAAACTGCATGTGATAAACGTATAGCATGCACCGTGCTTTATTAAATTTATTTCTTGATAAATAATAATAAAAACTTCAAATCAAATACAGTCTTCCTTCTTCCCCTTCTTTTTTTTTTTCTTTTTTCTTTTTTCTTCCCCTTCTTTACACTCTCTTTTCATAACTTATTACTGAATAATGAAACATATTACTTTCCTACACAAAGACTAAAGAAAGTTATTGAATTTTAAAAGAAATATAATTATATTCCATTAAATTACTTTCTCGTTTCATTAATATTTTGTCTCATTCACATAATAAATATATTAAAAAGCATTGATAAAATTAAAAAAATATTTAATAGTCACAAGAAAAATAAAATAAAATCTATCCTGTAAAATAAATAATATTTGAAAATAAGTTGGAGTTGTCAAAAAAAATTAATTAAAATTTAACCAAGATTAAGATTGATTATTAAATTGTTGATAAGAGTAAATGTATATTTAATTATTTTAATGATATTTTAATATACTACGATTTTAATATCTTTATAGTTAATAAAAATATAATCATTTAATATTTTAGAATCATAGAATACTTTCTGTTTTTTTTTTTTGTGAAAATAGAATACTTCCATTATTTTGCTAGTAATCAGGATAATTGGTTTTAAGAATTGAAAATTATTTTATTCAATACAAAAAAATTGATTAAGGAGTATTTACTTTAAATTCTCCTCATTACCCGAAGAAAAAATAGTAATTACTTTTAAATTTTTTAAACTATTATAATAAGTCTCACAATAAATCTTAATATTTGTAATTTATTGAATCATACTCATTAATTAATTATTAAATTTTAATAAATTATAATTATTAAATACATGAAAATCAATAGCTAAAATTTGGCGTAAAACTTATTATTTTTACACAGATATAAATTGATTCTATTCCATATAAATGAAAGGTTTTATAAGAGTTACGTTGTAGGAAAAATGATTGTGTTATGTTATAGAGATTCGTTTTCCGTACATTAGTAATTTTTTTTTTTTTTTGCTTCAAAAAATACATATCTCGCAAAATATTGTGTGTGTAAAATTTTTTTTTGTGTCATATCACATGATGAATGCAAACCTGAATATTGGATTCTAAAGCATTCACGTGTAAAGCATGAAAGTTTTTATATATTCAATGGAAGGTTACTCAGAATAATAACACATTTATGAGTCAATTAGTCTGAGATTTTTTTTATATTTACCTTTAAAAAAAAAAAAAATATAAAACAACTCAATTGTTATGAATAATTGATAGCAAAAAATGAGTTGGCACTTGGCACCTCAACCTCAAGTCTATAAATTGGTGTCATTCTTCATTTGTTCTCCCCTCTCCTTCCTTCTCTTCTTCCCTTCTTCATTCCCCATTCCCCATTTGTGGGAACGTTAACACACACACTTCTTAACACAACAACAACCAACAACCAACACATCACAGATCTCTCTCTCTCTCTCTCTCTCCAAATGGATCAACCCAGATTCGTAATCGAAGCATCCGAAGCCGAATCCATGGCCCAATCCTCCGGCATAACCCTCACCCAACTCCTCCCATCTCTGGTTGCCTCCGCCCAGACCCTCGCCCGTCCCCCAATCTCCAAGTTCCCCGTCGCCGCCGTCGGAGTCGGATCTTCGGGTCGGATCTACGTTGGCGTGAACCTCGAGTTCCCGGGTCTACCCTTCCACCACACCGTACACGCTGAGCAGTTCCTCGTTACAAACCTCTCCATGAATGCGGAGACTCACCTCGAGTCCTTCGCCGTCTCCGCCGCCCCCTGCGGCCATTGCCGCCAGTTCCTCCAAGAAATTCGCGGAGCCCCAGACATCAAACTCCTCATAACCTCCGAAAAGGATCCTCAGTTCACACCTCTGTCACACTTCCTCACCCAACGTTTCGGTCCACATAACCTTCTACATAAAGGGGTACCCCTTCTATTGGAGCCTCATCATAACGCTTTGTCCCTTCTTCTCAATAACGATTTACCAATAATACCCAATGGAATCTCCAATGGTTATTCGCCAAATGCCGAGTTAAAGTTTGCAGCTTTGGAAGCTGCCAACAATTCTCATTCACCGTATAGTGGGTCCCCTTCTGGTGTTGCTCTATTGGATTCTCAAGGTAACATTTTTAAAGGATCTTACATGGAATCTGCAGCTTATAACCCTAGCTTGGGACCCCTTCAGGCTGCTTTGGTTGCTTATGTTGCCGGCGGCGGCGGTGACTATGATAAGGTTGTTGCCGCTGTTTTGGTTGAGAAGGATGGAGCTGTCATAAGACAAGAACACACTGCTAGGTTGTTGCTCCACTCTATCTCCCCACACTGTCACTTCAAGGTTTTCCTTTGCTGTTCTAGTGCTTGAAGATTGAACAAGATCAATTTCTGTGTACCACAAAAAAAAAAAATGAAAATTGAGTGGATTTTCTAATCATTTCATTTCCAAGCCTGGATATATATTATGGTGTATAATAATCCCCTTTTATTATGTCTTTGTGGTTCAAATATTTTAATCAGATGCTCTTAATCTCTGTATATTATATATGTCTAATATCATGGTGTCTATGTTTTTTTTTTTGGTTGAAATGGAAATTATTTTAGGTAAAACTAAAGTTAAAGCGGGTTTTTTTTTTTTTTTGGACTTCAAAATTCAAACTAGCAAGCAAAAATGAACTTATTTACCAAGCTTTGACTGCACAGGAGCATGTGCTCATGCTTAGAACTATTCCTCTGTAAACAACTTTTACAGGTTTATTCTTTTGGGCAACTTGACATTTAGGGGGTGTTTGGTACGCGGGATTTTGAGGGATTCTCGAGAAACTGAATTTTTTTAAATTTTCAGATATTATCGTAAACTGAATGCAAAAATTATATTTTTGAAAATCGAGATTCTCGAACAAATAAAAATATCTCTTGTATCAAATTTCTACTGAATTAGGTATTCCTCTTGTCGTTTCTGAATGGTACATAAAAAAAAAAAAGTAAAACGCTGAGCAGAGAAAGAAGCAGCAGAATCAATATTCAATAGTGTCCAAGGCACGGTAGTTAACTACTTATGCTTATTCTCTAGGGGGACTATTGAAATGTAACAGGCTCAACACCGGAAATTGCACATCCACAACGGCTAATATGTTCCTTAAGGATCAATAAATACAAGTTCGGGAGCAATTTCTCCATTATATTAACAAGAAGAAAAGGAACTGTAGAAAAATAGAATAATCACTAAACAAATTCTTCGTATGATACAGTTCTCTACACCACGACTTGAGTCCTCCAACAACAGTAAGTATAGTGGCCCTCTATTTTTTATTTTAATTTTTTGGTACATAAAGCTATAGTGTAACATATATCAATGTCTAAAAAAGAAAGGTGGGGTGACTTTTTTTTTTTTTTTAAGTCTCTTCAATCAGTTCATCTGTTAGACTAGCCCTGCTCGAAAACACTGTAAAAGGGACGGTTCTTCCAAGATTATTTTTCCATAACTCGAATTCGAGATCTATGATTAAAAAACACAAACTTCTTATCTCAATGGTATTTGGTTAGTTGCCTTTATTTAAAGGGTAATATTACTCTCATGTAACATGAAAGTAGTTCTCTCATGTTACATAGAGAATCCAAGTAAGATCCGCTATTTAAAAGTGAAAAAGAAAAAAGAAGCGGCACGATTTTCGAAGAGAGAGAAAATGAGATAACTACCTCGTGTAAAATGAGAGTACTATTTTCCTTTGTTAAAAGCCTTTTCGATGTCACTTCTGGGAAATAGTTGATATCAGAGTCATTGTGTTTCTGTCCTCTATATAGGTATCAAAATATGCGGCACTAGTACTTTTTTGGACCACGTCTCTTTTGCACTCCAATCAGTGGCTTGTGGAGAATGACGTGGTGGAGATTCAAACATTATAATCTTTCTAAGGCACCTTATGTTTAGATATGTGTTACTTAATCATAAATAAGTTTTATTTTACAGGAACCTCACTGACAAATGTGGATAAGCACCGTCTTCTCTGTCTCGGCATGTCTTCTTCAAATGTGAAGTTTGTGTGTCCAATCTGTCTGTTTGAGAATCATTTCTCATGTTTATTCGAACCAGCATCAAAATCTATCACCATAGAGAGAATAATTTCGTAGATCTTATCCTACAGTTCATTCCCATTAAACATATATATATATATATATATATATATATATATATATATATATATATATATATATATTTTTCTTAATAAACATTCACAAAGTGTCGAGGGCCAAGAGGCTATGATAGATGTTCCTTTTCTTGGCCAACTATGATTACACAGTTTAGGTGAAAAGCAAAGTGGAAAGGTTAAGTTTATCTGCTAAGTACATTTAGTTCTCGATAGGGGCAGTTTCGTTGAAGTCCTCCAAAAAAAAAAAAAAAGGTTTAAAAAGAAGAATAAAGCCAATCCCGTTTTAATTAAATTTGATCTAAATGTGAGGTTGTCATCATAGCAGAACTTTTCTTATCCTATTCGTCCAAGCAACTCACCTTATAAAGATCATTGCTGGCTTATTGAACAAGACCATATGCTCTGTATGCAAATTGAATGGTGGGGCAGCTGGAAAGGAATGAATTATCATTTAAAACCACTTTGTGCTAGTGGCTATTAGCCGAGTATGATGCCAAACTTGCTCTTGAGTCTTGACTATATGCAAGCTTTGGGTTTCTTTAACCATGTAAACTGCTAGTCTGACACTTTATCATTTGTGGAGGATGTGTGCAATTGAAATTGGCAAGGAAGAGTTTCAATTAGGACGCCAATGTTACTTTTCAGCTATATACAAGCAATTATTGACTTTAGAAAACTACAAAATGATTTGGATCACCATCAAGGCAGAATTCTTGTTTTAGCCGCAATAAAGGGGAATAGTATTGTTGAGTATGACTCATACTTCGCATGGTGATGATGACCCTTGTTGTCAGGGTCAACAGAAAGGCAACTTGTAATTTTCTTAGTAGTTTGGGTTTGGATCCATGAATAGCTGCTGTTAGGGTTTCTAATCCTATTTATATTTTTCTTGTAAACTGAGTGACTTGTAACGAGTGGTGGTGAAGTGAATTTAGTACAAACAAGATGGACATAGTCTAAACTGAGTGAACCATAGTAAATCTCTGTGTCTATTCTCTCTCTTCTCTTTTCGTTTGTGATTTGTGTGATTGTCGATTTCCGACAAGTATTCTGTAGTATCCACTGTTAATACATGTAACAAGAGACTGCATTATGGGATTAAGATAACTTCAGAGAAAAAATGATGATAAATTCAATCCAATTTGGATGAACAATATATTGGATAATTATGAATCAATCAATCAATCAATCAAGAAGGGAAATGACAATAAACATAAATCTCTTCATGATTCTAGATTGTCGCAATGAAACATCTCCAGCAGGGACAATTTGCTACTAAGGCATAGTAAAAGAAGATGAACCAGCTTGTCTAAGAGGAACTTTGACAACCTCTCTAATACCTGTTATAATCCCTACATCTTCATCCATAGTGAACAGATCCTCTGTTTCTCTCATCATAGCATGGACCAACACAACCACTAGTGCAATACACATACCTACTATCACATTATAGGTTACATTCGTGAGAACAAGCAAACCAATGGTGATTAACAACAAAGAGACAACCACCAATCGCTCATCGATCTGAAACCTGAAAATCACTAAAGGGGTATCTCGTAGGAAATATAAGAACAGCCATGCAATCATCATAACAACTAATATGATCAACGAAAAAGGGTGTCCTAATAGGCTAAGAAAAAGCACAAGCAATATTAAAATCACGTAGTTTGCACGAAAATGTTTAGCATTTGTGTTGATTCTTTGGATTGAACCAGAGAAGGAAGATGGAAGTTTGAGATGAGAAAGTTGTATCATGTCCTTCCATGGTCTTGTTATGCCTAGACCTGTTCGGATGCGCTCTTTGGCCTGTGAAACGAAAAGTACGTTTGGATTAGATGAAACTTCTGCTTCTTGTGAGATTGTTCCATATGTAGTCATTTTCCTCTGATTATTGAGGAGAAAAGTGGGAGAAGGAACGACAGTGAATGCAATTTGGTGGATCTCAGTTAATACTTCCCCTTGGATAAGAAATGTCAGGGTATGAAGTGGGCATTGTGTAGAATATGAGAATGTTTGACTGAGTATAAGAATATAAGATCATGGATACAATAACTGTTTCTAAGGTATTACTGTTACTCTTAACGTGTTGAAGATTTGATTTTAGATTTATTAAATGATATTTTATATATGGAAAAAATTAGTCTTATGCTGTATGTGATAACTTTCTCTCTTAGACACCTTTCAATGGTGGAACTCACAAATTTGTCTCTATGACATGAGATAACTTATCTCCTTTGACATAAGATTAATAAAACTCTTTAAATATAGTCCACGACCTTTATTATTATAATGGAAGGTTATACTTACAAATTTTTTATTTACAACCTATATTATGTCTAATCGATCATACTTTAATTAAGAATATATGACCAGTTAGACTTGTGTAATTTTTAAAAAAAATATTATAAACAAATTCTTCTCGATTATTATATAATACCACGTGTTACATTTTTATTACATTGGAAGTACTCTCGTACTCCCAATGTACATAAGAAGTTTCGTTTTTTAGGGGAGCAAAGGACAGGACATAATTGCTGTTTCAACCAATGACATGTTATAGGCGGGTCTGACTATTACCTATTCATAACAAACCCAAATGTTGTGGATCTCTACACGCTTTTTTAGGACAAGCTCTCACGAAACATGATACACTCAAAAGAATAATTTTTCATTTTGAGAATGGGAATGCATTGAACAGAAAATAAAAAAACATGATCTGAGTCAATAAAAAAACATCAAAAGTTAAATTGATTTCAAGTATCCTCAGTTTTTTTTTTTTTTTTGAAGAACAAAGGAAAACTAAACAACAAAAAGAGAAAAACTACAGATTACATAGTTTTGGACTACAAGTACCCATTGCATCACTACCAACTAGGATCCTACAGTCATCCGGGGTTGTCCAAACACATGGATATTCCAATCATCAAACTGTATGCAAAGGAGGCCATCCATCCAGTATCTCCTTTTTTTAATGGGAAAAACTTTTCTTATGTTACATAAGATACATTTTATCTTTTACACACCCTTCGATAACTGTGCCACCTTTTTCTTTTCTTTTCTTTTATTTTTTCAGGTGGTGGAGCCCACAAATTTATCTCTGTGACATGAGATAACTATCTCCTTTAACATGAGATTAATAAAACCCTTTTTTAATATTTGTTGATTGTCAAATTTAGCAAAATAAGTAAGCCATAACAAGTCGTAGTGGCAAAGTCAGGGTTTAATTTTAGTCGAGGTTAAAAAATTTGACATATTAAATTATAAAAAAAGATTCATAATTACGCAGATCTATTAGAAAAAAAATTTATTTAAAATAATAATAAATTTTCTTTTTTTTGGTAAGCTAAAACATACCACAACACAAATTAAATAACTGTAATAAATTTTCAAAGTAATAGGATCGATGTTATTTTAACAAATAATAGTTATTTACTTAAAATTTAAAATATAATATAAAATAAAATTAGTAAAGAAAATACAAATTATATAGACATACATGAAATTTTCATGTGATTTTTATGCACATTTTCATGTGATCTTTGATAACATTATTTCATGTGATATTAATGAAAGCTTATTTCATGTGATGTTAATGAAAATTGATTTCATGTGGTCTTTGTGAATAATTTTTTTATTTTATTTTAATTTGATTTAGGCCTACAAACTTTACTTTGCAACTTGGTAGGCCTTACAAGTCGTATTCGGTTTTTTTAGTTTTTTATAATATGGCAGGCCATAAATCAAGTATTTAATAGGCTAATAGATCAGTATAGGTTCCAAATATTTTACATAGCTTAGGTTATCAAAGTCAAAGTTTGGCTTAACTTGACACATTTATACCCCTAGCCGTGACTTGTGAAGAACATTAACATAGAGGGACAACAAATTCATAATTAAAAAGAAACATGGAATAATCAGTGACAAATGTCTAAAATCATTTAAATACATTGAATCCACATAAATCATTTAATTAGTGTTTAGATATTTTAAAAATTTTTAGAATACAAAAAAAGATGAAGTTGTTAATGGATATGTGTAAGAAATTTCCATAGTCCGTATATATACATATATCCAATGATGCACCGACACCGACACGGGACACGGGATACGACATGACACGATACTCCGACACGTTAATTCTAAAAACTGTTAAATTTCGACACGTTAGGACACGTTTTGATATTAAATAATATTTTTAATATATATAATATAATTTATATTTAATACATATAACAGACGAGGTCACAAGAAACTAGTATTATTTTTGTAAAAGTAGAGGTGGGTTGTGATAATAAATATCCCATGTTATAAATTATTATTTTATTTAAAATTATATAATTAATTTTTAGAATCTACACCTCAACAATTGCTATACTATGGGGTTTTTCACCCTTTTTCTCATCATTAATTAATTAATAACTATTTTGCCCCTGATTCGAAACTATCTACCAATCTGCTCCTCTTTAATCGACTACCTTGCATTTTTAATCGATTAAATGGTCAAAACATGCAAAAATGGCTGTTGTGAGATTTAATCAACTAAATCTCCCTATTTAATCGACTAAATCTTCCTATTTAATCGATTAAATCTCCCAACAGGCAACAAAAGGAAACAAGTCAGTATGATTTTTTAATCGATTAAGTATAAAGATTTAGTCAATTAAATCTCCCAACAACCATTTAATCGATTAAAAATGTAAGTTAATCGATTAAAGAGGGACAGATTGATAAATAATTTTGAATTAGGGGCAAAATAATTATTAATTAATTAACGAGGAACAAAATAATCAAATAGCCTATACTATGGTCTATAAGTCATTATTATCTTCACTTTAAATAAAAAAGCTGATCTTTGTAGCAGAGCCACAGTACAACACGCGGTGAGGCAAGAAAGCATATTTATTAGTCACATCTAATCTCAAGTGGGGTCAAGACCTAAACCATGGATTAGAACCAAGGTTAAAAAGCAAGTGGTTAAGAAGGAGACAACCACATATCCAGATTTTTATTATCACAAGTCATCCCTCAGAGTATCATCATCAACAATCATCCCTCAAAAAGCATGGCTTTTTGATCCTTATAATTTTTTATTAATAATTAATTATTAAATTGACCTTGTAAATTATTTCAAAAATTTAACCTTTTCAAAAAACATAACACCAATTTGTCCTTGTTTGACCGTTGACCACCAAGCCTACCCGGGTACACCCCTCCCTACCCAGATATTCCGTTATTCATTTGGTTTCATGATTGTTACTTTCAAGAGTTAAATGTTTGTTCTTTTAAAGGACACAAATTGTGTCATTTTAACTTTTAATATTATGTCTTACTAGTAAGACATAGTTATAACATGAAAAATAATGTTTTTTCTCTTCACCTCAGCTGAAGTGAATGAGAAAATAGAAAAAAATAAATAATTTTTCATATTATAACTATGTTTTACAAGTAAGATATAGTGTCAAAAACTAAAAGGATACAACCTTGTGTCCTTTAAAAGGACAAACCCTTTTTCCTACTTTTAAATGTGTTTATTTGGTTTAATTGGGCTCATATTTTGAAATAGGTCAACTAATCATTTTTGTGATTAAGTTTAGAAGTCTTTCTCTTTTAAAATAATAGGAGTAAGAATAAATAACATAACTGATTAGAATAAAGCAGAAAAAAAATATACAGGATAAAAAATAAAAAAAGGTAAAACACAAAAATCCTCATACTATACATGTTCCTTATTATTTGTTTGCATTTCGATGGTTTATTGTTACTTTGTATTGCGTATTTGATTTTCTATTTAAGTAGTGCCAAATTATAATTTTTACCTTAATTAATTATATAATAAGTAAAAAAAAAAAAAAAACAAGCAGATGCCAAGTCACCTGCTGGCTTGGACGTAGCTACGCCACTGATTCAGCTTACAGATGCACAAATGTTTCTCTGAATTAAATACAACTTAAAAACTAACATTTCATTTTCACTGAAGTTTGCATGTACTTGATTACAATCAGCTCATGAATGGTCAAGAATGAAGCAGAATAAACAATTATGCTTGATATCCTTATAAAACCAAAAAAGAAGGGGGTAAATAAATATACAAGAGTACATACATATATATCCTTCATATCATAAGTTTCTCTGGACCATAGCTTTCTTTGGGTTATCCCTTTGTGAAACAACTTACAAGTTAGAGATGCGTGGGTAGAGGTACTATGCTTAAACAGATTCTGCCGGTCTATCCTTGGGAACAGAGGAAGGTTCAAGAAGCAGATCACCAATGCCCTTAGGTGGACCAATGCTGCATCGAGCTGTGTTATGTGTCTGGATGGCATCCTTTATTTTTTGAAACTGTAATTTTCAAAAGAACCATTAGCTGGTTATCAAATTGAATTTATGTGACTCCCAGCATTCTATATAATTAAGTTCTATTCATTATTATATATGTATCTTTTCACTATCAAGTATCTTTATCCATCATCATATATTTGCTTCACTATTAGGCATATACACTACCCACTTTGCCTGGCAAGTCTTGTTAAGGAAGAAAAGAGATAAGTGAACATATGTGCTTCTATGTACTTGATTATCCCTTTTCTGAATTCAACCAGCCATACATTCAAATAGGCATTATTATCATAATCATGTTGCAACCAGCTAATATCTGATATCTGCTTTATAGCAATGAATTACCAGTTTTCATTCTACTGAGTGTTTCTTCCACGTTTGATTCCTAACATAAGCATAACCAGAACTGAATAGTAAGAATTACCTTGGCAAGTGAACATGAAAATGACTCCAGCTGACCCTCAGCCCCTCGATAAAAGTGGAAATAAGGAAGTACTTTTACATTCAGACTTTTGCACATAGGCTTATTCTCATCAAAATTTACTTTCAGGAAAAGAATTTCAGGGTGTTCTTCAGCTGTTCTGCATAGCTGCCAGATCCATTTGACAAAGATATCAGGACTCAGGAGAGCTGTAATATAATTTCAGCAGCATGCAAATTCAATATATTTTTTTTATAGATGCAAATTTGATAGTATCATCTCAACATAAATATGCTTTTCATTTGGATTCATCGGCCACCAACCCCAACTAGTTTGGAATAAAGGTGGTGTTGGTGTTGATCCAAACATAAATACATTCTGGCTGTGAATAGAATTGTTTTACTTTGGTGTAAATAAACCAATATTTCCCTGCCACATATAGATAATGTTTAGTAAATCAAGTTCTGTCTTTCACCCTCTGGTATCGTGTGCTGTAAGCACCAAAGCGGATCACTAGATCACCAATAAGAATCAGACAAGGAGGAGTTATATCCTGATATAGTAATCTTCAATCACGAACAAAAATTGGAAGATGAAAATGCGACAGGCAAGAGTCTTCTAAAGCAAGTCAGTCAATGGCAACAGAAACATTATTCAATAATTGTGTGATGCAATTCAAAGGTTGCAATTTTCTGGGGAAAGAAAAAATAATATGTAAACTGCCAGATTTTTACCACTCCTAGAACCAAGATATAACATGTTACCCATGTTAATCACATTTGACATATGATCCAGCCATTTACATAACTGTTATTAATCGTTTTTGGAAGGGAAGTTTTTTTGACAAAAGGAGATTTGTCTAGTTATGTGGCCACTAGCAATATCTAATTCAAATTGAGAAATATCTTTTGAAGGTACAGTTGCAGACAGTATCTCAAACACATCCATTTTCAAATCAGTAAGAATTCCAGATCCTATTCAAATTCATGTCTGAGTAGCAGGACCAGCATGGCATAGAATGGAATGCTAAGCATCCAGATCAGAACATTCATAACCATTGAGACCAAAGTCACTATCCACTATTTAAGACACCAGCCAATACACAATATAGTTTTTAGATGACCAAGATAAATATAGATTGATGATAATATTGCCACATTTTTAATTTCAAACATGTAACCAACAGAACAAAATTGAGAGTAGATATTTTTGCAGCACAAAGAAAAAATTCTTCAGAAACTAAATATTAGAATGAGAGGGGGACATTCTGGAAACAAGACGACCTTGGGGAATAATGCTCGGCAAGAAGCACACCATGTTCCATAAAATTCAACAATAACTAGTCTATCCCCAGCTTGACTTAAAGCACTCAGAAATTCTTGCGTGGAGTGGATGTCAATCATATTTGGTGCACTCTTCTCCCACCATTTCGGCTGACCAGTTTCAGCAACAGTTGCACATACCTGAAGTGAAGTGAGTAAAAACCAACAACAGCTCTGAGAAAAGTACATTAGACTTTAGTAACCCAAAGAATTGGCTAACAGTGAAGAATATAACAAAAATAAAGTGTAGTCATTTGTTTACTATAGCCCAGAGTTATTTATGTACTGTGTTCCAAAATAATTAACTTATTTCACACACAAACTCTTGATCAATAAAAAGCAAAAGGAAAAAAAGAAACAAAGCATTTATTCATAAGAGTAAATGAAGTATTCAACAATTTATAAGCCATCTTAGCTGGCTTATAATTACCCTAGTAAGCAACAAAGAGAATTAGCACCATCCATCATGGATTACATATGCCCCAACGGAGGTAAAATTACAACAAATGTCAAGAAGAAGCTACTTCTGAAGATAAGGTTCGGGATAAGGTTCGGGAGAAGTTACAGAGTCTTACTAAAAAGCACTCAATTGCTTGTGCTATAGGCTACAGCTCAACAAAGCATCAATCCCTCGATAAAACATCACCATAATGCAGTTTAGCTCATCTTAATATATAATTCATAGGTGATCACCATAGACTAATAGCATCACATGAATAGAGAGAGCACACTAAAGCATAAGACAGTACAGAGAAGCCTTCTTTCTCAAATTGTTACTATTCTATAGCATTAACAAGTGCTATTTTATATGTGAATGTCTGGTACCGAGTACTAAATATCAAAAATACACAAACTTGATTCCAATTCTTCTATTGTAGCAACAATTAGTGTGAAAATATGTTTAAGACCTAAGCTGTTTTGGTATCTGCAACATAGGACCAAAAATAATACTGGGTCTAGCGTAAATGCGTAATTGGAGCATGTTTAACACAAGGGGTACCGTAAAGTTACTGAATTTATCACTCCTAAATGCGAATGCATAGAATATTGAAAGGGGAAGGGGTGAAAAAAGTGACCTTGAAAGAAAGAAAGTGCTTTCTGGGCGAGAAAGCAAGAGTAGGAAGTGGCGCTGCAGGAGAAAATACCCTCTTAGCAGAGTTAGCTGAGGGTGGCGGTGAGAGAGTTATGAAGAAAGAGGAAGATGAGAACCGAAGGGGTTGAAATTGTAATCGAATAACATCAACAAGTGCCATTTGCACAACAAAAAGACAAGACAATGAAAGAGCGCTAGAGATAGCGCTTCATGAGATGACACAACTCACAAGTCACAAGAACAAGTGTGTGTGTGTCTGAATGAGAAAAGAGAAAAGAGAAAAGAAGCAGATAGATCGTGCGAACCAAATGGTTCCAAGTCCCATGTTTGGATTGATATTTTCGTTGGTTTTGGGCTCTGCCCCCCCTTACCCAAACTCTCCTCGTTTTGTTATTTATGTTTATGTATTCATTGCCGCTTAACAAATACTAATGTCATAACTTTGGTATATGGCTATTTTTTTATTTTATTTTTTATATATTTCAATTGATTCATCTTTTGTGATTAGTCAGGCAGATTCTGAGATAGGTTTTAAACTCGTTCTAAAAATAGTACGAGAGAGAATCAAATACATACTCTCACTTTCACCTACTCAAGTTTCTTGACTACAACTGAATTGTTATATATGGCTATTATCTTAACCAATCTTCACCTTTTTCTATCTCCTACCAATATTAATTAAGATTGGCATTTAACAATATGGATAGAAGAAAGTAACTATAAAAAAAAAAATTCTCTATATTATTTTTTTCTCATTTTATGTTTGCATTGAGTGAAAAAAAATCGTTAGAAATAATATTCCAATCTTCACTCTTTTGTTTCCAAGGGTATATATAGATCGTAAAAACGTAAAATTGTTTGGAATATTAGTCAAATCATTTTGATAAAAAAATCGTAAAAACGTAAAATCGTAGTGATAAATCGAGATTTTAACAACATTGAAAAAACCGTTAACAAAACTGATTTTTTCTTTTCTTTTTTTTCTACCTCCTTATTTATCTGACTTGTTTTTTTTTAAGATATTCCAACTGATTTATCGCTTTGTAATTAGTCTGATTCGGGGCGAGTCTTAAGATTAAGACTTTAAATCTCTCCAAATACAATACTAAAAAGAATCAAACAGATGTTCTCACGCCTAATTCCCTCACACCAACTAAATTACCATCGGTTGATTATTTACCTAACTTGTTGGAGATGTAAACTAGGAGCACTTAAATTAAATAAGGAAGGAGGATCAGAGACAAACTCGAACATCATTATCACGCTTTAGTTTTACAGGTGTCAGTCACAAGAGTATTTACAAATTCGTTACAAAAAATGCAGGGTTAACTTTCTTTTCACTTTTCTTGCATAAAATTCACTATATTTGTTTTCAGACTTTCATTTATTTGTTAATATATCTAAAGCAAACGAAAATTTCATCCAAGTTACTTGAAATGAAAAAAAAAAAAAAAATTTACTTTGTTGTTCTTCAACAATTTTAGACTTTAACAATTAATTATTATAAAAAACTATAAAGAAAAAGTGATACCTGAAGCCAAATTACAAGAAATATCTTTGTGAATTCTCAATTTCTACATAAATAACTTGTGTTTTGATCAAATTGGAGAATAAATTAGTCGTAGTATGTGCATAATGGATAAAAAAACTACCTAAGCACAACACACACACACAAATTATAAAAGTTTTTCAATAAATTATTTAATTAATATTAATTGTTTTTCCTTTTTATACCAAAGGAGATTTATGATCTATGGGCTGTTTGATTTCTGCTCCTAAGTACAGTTTTTTAATTTTATGACAAAAAACTTATTTGAAAAGATTATTTTATAAAACAATTCTTAAAATAATAACTGGCTTTTAGTTATTAAAACAAATCTCGAAGAATAATTTAGAGATAATCTCAAATTATTTTTTAGTTTTTTTTTTTTTTTTGGTGGCAGTTTCATATATGAAGATTCATTAATTGGTAAATAAATTTTTACATTCAAACAATTTTTTTTATTTTTTATTTTTTATTTTTAAAATCAGTTTTTCACATTTATATTACAAAACAATTTTGAAGAACTAGAAAACAAAATCAAATTTAAATAGGCAACTATCTGGTTTCCAAATTTTGAAGAAGGCAAAAGGGGTCTTACTATGGTTGAGATTGAGACTTAACCATTAATTTCATTTATTTATTTAGTTTTATAATACAAATCTCAATGAAAATTTCAAATGCATGCAACAAACTAAGCACTCGAGTATTTCACAGCAAATTCTCCTAAAAAAAATTCAACTCTGTGTTTTTATATCTTTGACTTACTTGCTCAGCCATAGTCTTCTTTCACCTCTTTTATAGGCACATTTGATGACCATGATTAAGTAACAGAACCAATAACCACACTTGCATCTCTGTATAAGCACGTTTGATGCATGCCGATGGAATTGTGGAAACGATTTAAGAACTCGTGACATCAAACATACATGGTAAATGGTATCATTGGCTGCCATTTCTGACCAGATAACAAGTTTGCACCGTTTGCTGTGCAGCAGACAGTTGAAGCAAAGTTTTCAACAAGTTGAAAAGGGCATTAATGAGCAGATAAAAGATAAAAAGGGGCAAGTGCAATTTGATCTGGGTGGTCTGTGCCATTACAATCAAACTGTAGGAGGCGTTTGATTGAAGTTTTCAAAAAACATCCCCATGAATACTATTTCAGGGTGTACTATTTTAGTAAAATGATATTCCCAGAAATAATGAACAGCATTTGGGTTATCCCAAATGTTTCTAGTAAATAGCCTCAGCTAGCAGCAATGCAGTTGAATGATAGTCAGTTTTCTGGACATTACAAATGACAAAATATTTATGCCATGGGAATGTAGGATACCCACATATCATAGGAATGACAGTGTGAAAATATTGAACAAATGTTATTTCTGGAAATCATATTTTCATGGAAGTTTTTTACATGGAAATCCAACTTTTCCATGTAAGCATTCCCGAAAATGTAAAGTATCGAACCAAACACCCTCCGAGTAGAAATTTTGATTCAGATATCATTCACTTCCTACCTACGTTTGATTACCAAAGGCAATTCTTAATAACTACATTCAAGACCTAATGAAATGTTTTCAAACTGAACTAAAAAGTATGTTCAGTGAGATGCCATAATCGGAACAATTCGATGACATGCCGAAGTTTACAAGGGTATCTATAGATGGAAGAATCACATATTGAAGAGAGATGCTCCATCTATATGGAATTAGGTTCTCACCCAACAAGAGTGTGCCAGTAGTAGCCGTAATAGAAATAACTGGTTGGTATTTAAGAGACAAGAATGAGCTTTTGAGAAGTTGAAACTCATAATTTATCTTTGCTAAAAAAAGGGAGAATCATATTGCCAAACTCTGCCAGGAAAAGAGAGGGAAGTAGGAGAGGAAGGTGTTACAGAACTCAACACCAGATAGAAGGAAAATGTCTTGCAAGTGTATCCAGTGAACGAATCTTTGAAGTTTGATAAGGAACCATTCCTATTTCCTAGTACCTAATATAAATGAGGAGTCTAAGATAGGAACTTAAAATTCAAATGGGATGATGCGATTTGCATACTTTTTTTTAACACACGAGTATTAAGGAATAATGCTATTTGTACGAGACCTGCAGATATCAAAGGTGTCAGGGCTGGTAGTCCCAAAGAATGCTAACAGAATAACATGCAAATAGCACGTGAAAGCTAATGAAAATAATAGAATAACAAATGGAAACACAGTAGCGCAGCTGTGAGCCAGTATGTGTAGCCTTTTGCTATCCGATCTGGTAGTCCAAGAGATGTGTGGGCCTTCTGGGATGCTACATCTGCCCTATTACAGAAAGTGAAAACATGAAATTTATGCGGACAGTATTTATTGAATTATAAACTGCACAAGGAAATTAGTAATGTGTAATTTAAATTATGAAATAAGGATGATCCATCAACAAATACGAAAAATTAAAGCAATTTAAAGTGCAAGTAGTTTAATCCGAAGAAAATACAGGTTATATAATACCAATTCTTTCTGCAACATTTCATCATGTTCATATTTCTGAGCATCTCTCCTAGAGTAGAGAACACACTATGATACAGCTTAGCTATCAATGAAATAATTAGTTTTATGCACCTGGTAGAAGAACGGAGTCTGCAAAAGAGGCAGAACCATTATTGGGTGCACCCTTTATCTTGAGGATAGAGGTAACCAAATTATAAATCTGGACATTCTCAAATGAGGGTATCTTCCTCCCTCTTGCAAATTGAGGGCCGTGTCCAATGAAAATGGTCCTCATGGAGAAGAACGCATTGTCATAACCATGTGCACCGCCACATTCTTTGTTATTTGTTCTATTCTGCTCAATCTTAAAACCTTCTTCAACCAAACCAATTATCGGCGGAATCCGATCGCTCGCTGCATAATGAAGCCGTTGAGGAAGATCTTCCTTCAGATACACCTTCAACTTTCTCCCGTTCTCAACTTTCCCCGAGCTCAATCCTTCATTCATCTTAGTAACAACATCAGCAGGTGAAAGAGAAGGAGGAGGACGAATTGCAAGCAAGGGAGAATATGAGTGAACCCAATCTGGTGGAATCACCAACCAAGGTGCCAAATCATTTAAAAAAATGAGCTTTTTATCACATGTACCAACCATGCCATGGTCACCCACCAAAATAATAGTAACATCCTCAAAAACCCTTCTTTGTTCCAAACCTTTAATCAGCCTCCCAATCATGCTATCAATCCTAGAAACAGCTTCAGTGATCTCAGTGTCATCAGGTCCAACCTCATGACCCTGATGATCAGGGTCCTCAAAATAAAGTGTCATAAATGAAGGGATTTCATCACTAGGCAAATCAAAATACTCCAAAATTGTATCAACTCTATCCTCAAAGGGAACAGAACCATTATAATGCTCACAATACTTAAAAGGGCAAGTCCAAGAACCTTTCTTTACCTCAGAACCAGGCCAGAAGTAGGTAGCAGCATTCAAGCCATTGTCTAGAACAGTTTCCCACAAGGGTTGGCCCAACCACCACTTGGATTCGTGGCTTGACATGGTGAATTTCTCGCCAGTGATTGGATCGAAGAAGTAGTTATTGATGATGCCGTGGTAAGGAGGGTAGAGACCAGTAACAATGGAATAATGATTGGGGAAAGTGATAGTGGGGAAAACGGGAATCAAACCCGTTTCGGCCTCCGTGCCGTTTTGGATCAAACGGTGAATGTTGGGTGTGGGTGTCTTGAATTGGTAACCAAAACGAAACCCATCTGAGGAAATGAGGAGAACGACAGGGCGTTTGAGATTAGTGAGAGGACGAGCTGTTGGGTTAGATGATGTTGATGGTGGTGGTGATGAAACAGAGAAGAAGAGGAACGCAAAGGCTAAAGCTGCAGAGAGAGCCATGCAGGTTATGAGAAGATGAATTTTGGATAAGGGTTTCTGGAATGTGCAACTCTCACTCTCATTCAGCAGTGGAACTCTTGTTGTTGATGATGGTGATGATGTTGACCCTCCTTTTCCTTCCATTCTTTCAACTTACTACTGCTACGCTTCTTCACCAATCACCACACACAAAAAGGAAACCTCTTTAGGATCAAATAAAAAATCTCAGGTATAAAAGGTTCTAAAACCATGTCTTGTTTCTCTTAAATTTTGTTTAGTTTCTTATCCTGATTTTAATGTATGTGAAGTCAAACTCTACCAACAAAAAAATAGGAGAATGGTAGAAAAATGTGTTGAAATATATTGTCTCACCTCGGTTAGATGTGGTTTTTATAAGGTCTTGGGCACTTCCACCATTTGAGCTAGCTTTTGGAGTGGTATATCCCAAGATTCTTTACATAGTATCAAAGCTTGAGCTCTTACCGCCTCCCACTTTCAAGTGGAATTAAAATAAAAAGCACACATTGGTTAGATGTGCAACTAATGTGGCCTTTATAATAGGGGGTGGCAATATGGGTTGAGCCCGGCGGGTCAACCCGCCAAAACGGGGCGGGTTGGGTTGAGATTTTCAACCCACCTCAACCCGCCCCGCCTAGAAGTTGGTCAAAATGGGTTCAACCCGCCGCGAGGCGGGTTGACCCGCCGGGTTTTAAATTTTTTTATTTTTATTTTTATTTTTTTACAATTAGGTAGTATTTCATTAGTATTTAAATTTTTGTGATATTCAATTTTTTTTTATCTTAGTACTTTCTAAAAAAATAAAGAATAACAATTTTATTTATGACAAATGTTATCTATTTATAAATTCCTAAAGAATGTTTGACAAATATTAGTATACATTTAAGATTGAGACTAAAAAAAATATAGAGAAATGTGAAATAAAATAAAATAATATTAAAAAAATTCATAAAATATAATTTATTTTTGAATTTTAATTAAATTTTTTTTAATTGGCGGGTTGGTGGGTTGACGTGCTAACCCGCCAACCCACCATAAAACGGGGTGGGTTCATTTTTACAACCCATATTTTTTGGCGGGTCAACCCGCCCCGCCCCGTTTTTGGCGGGTTGGTGGCGGGGCGGGGCGGGGCGGGGCGGGTCAACCCAAATTGCCACCCCTACTTTATAAGGCCTTGGACACTCTCACCCTTTGAGCTAGCTTTTGGAGTGGTGCCCAAACGGCTCTTGTGTGAGGGGGCGTATTGAGATATATAGTCCTACATTGGTTAGATGTGCAACTAATGTGGCCTTTATAAGGCCTCCACGCTTCTTGCCCAAAGTGCTCTTGTGTGAAGGGGCGTGTTGAGATATATAGTCCCACATTAGTGGTTAGATGTGCAACTAATGTGGCCTTTATAAGACATTGAGCACTCGCACCCTTTGAGCTAGCTTTTGGAGTGGTGTATCCCAAGGTTCTTTACAAAATGTGTTAATAAAATGGATTATATTTATCTCATTTTACGTGAAATAAACAACTCTCCTACACACAAAAAAGGGTCGAGTCTCACTATTCTTTTTTTTTTCTCTCCTCTTACATGTGGGTCTCCCTTATACTTTTATTTCTATAACTTGAGGTAGTTTTTTTTTTTACAACATAAGAAAAATATATCTCTAAAAAAATAGTTAAAAGAGTTTATATATACTTATTTAAAAGGTGAAATTTTATGTTACTAAATTTTGAAGAGTTTATTATTATAATTAAAATTTAATCCAAATATATTCCACCTGTTGTTAATAAACATGAAGAAGTGTTGAAAAGAAGTGATAGCTATATATATAACTAAAAATGTTGTTATATTATTATTATTATTAATAAAAAATTATAATTATATATATGCTATAATTTATTTAAATATAATTACTAAGCACTGAATTAACTCACATGAGATTATTTCACCTTAATAAGTGGCAACTGTATTAAAAATTTAGTAATGAAATTTGTATTGTCTTTGTAATCCTTCTCAACTCAAATATTAATTTATTTAAAGAAATTTAAAAAAATATAAATAAAGAATTGATCATATTACTTATTTATTTAATGTTCTTATCCTTAACATTTTTTTTATACCACTAAATTGTATTTATATCAACGATGGAAATAGAGATAAACAAAAGATGTATTGTAATTAGCTAACAAAAATAAGGTAGAGAGAAGCAAGAATTCCAGAGTTGAGACCATGGTAATTAAAATTGGAATTTTATTAAAATTAGAAAAGAGGATAAAAAATCTGTAAAATGTAAAATTTTAACTTACAAAAAATTATAAAAACATAAAAGTGTTTATAATTTTGATGAATTTATTTTTATTAAAAACAAAAATCAAAAAATCATGAAAGCACAAATTTAAATCGAAATTTTATTTATTAAGGTTGAGATCATTGATTTAAATTTAATTTAACGATAATAAAAATAAGAAGATCAAATTAAACAGGCTATATAATTGTCCCTTTAATAAAAATGTTTTTTATTTATTTATATTATTTTCGGTGTAGGGTACAGTGGAGGTAGAGGGAGAGGGTTTTGCAAACGAAATTGAAAATGAATTCAGTGCGGCGAATGTTCCGTGCGTCAGCTCTCATTCTCCGATCATACTCCTCCTCCTCCGCCTCCGCCTCCGCCGCCACTCGGAAGAGGTCGAAATCCCTGCCGGTGAGGCCGAGGCCGATGGAGATTCCATTTCAGCCGAAGGTTGCGAATGCCGTGAACCTCATCGGTCAGGTTCATACGACGGTTCAGTTTCAAACTTGTGCCGACGGAAACACCTATGCTGCCACCGTTATCACGCGCCAAGAGTCCCCTTATTCTCCTTACCTTTAGTTAGTGTTTTCCCCTCATTCCTCCTTTGCATTTCTCTTTCATATTCTTTACTCAAAGTTTTTTTTTTTTTTTGGTTGTTTTATATAAGCATTCCGGTGATATTTGAGGGTGATTTGGCTCTTACTGCGAAAACCCATCTTCAACAAAATGATATCATCCATATAGCTGGACAACTCAGTACTGATCCACCTCACTTAGATCAAAGCTCTGCTCAGACTAATAATATTCAGGTTTCTTTATATTTACTTACGAAGATGGTTTTTAGCTAGCACTTTCCCTTTTGCTCTTATTATGTTTAGAGTAAACACGTCCTGCAATATCTACGAAGTCCTTTTAGTCTCTGGCAATAAAAAGGACCAAATTGGTCCCTGAAAGTACAAGAAAAGGGCCACTCTACATATTTAGGAGTTGACATAAGGACTAACATGACCCTTTTTTTGTAATTTCAGAGACCAATTTGGTCCTTTTTTATTGTCAGGGACTAAAAAGGACTTCGTAGATATTGACAGGGACTAAAAATGGTGTTTACTCTTATGTTTATCTCATGTATTGTTTGTTCCCTTGTTATTTGTTATATGTGCTGTGTGAAAGCTATCAGGTTTAGTGTGTAAAATTTCACATCTTTGGTTTACTCATATTAGGTTATGGTACAAAGCCTCTACTTTGTCAAAGGATATCCCCAAGAAAAGAATATATCTGCTACTTCAAAGCAAGATAAAATGTTGACTGCCTCTGGTAATCATTCCTTCTATGTTTTTAATGTCATTTTATGATTAATTAATTTTTCGGAATGGAAATATGGGGCAATAGCATTATTGTCATGCATCCAAAATAAATTGTGACTTAAATTTCTTTATAATATTTTCTGTTTTATTCATATTTTTTTTTCTGATAGGATCTTTCCTTTTTTTATATTAAAGAAATTTTATTAGAAGAAACGGAGGGAAAGATATCCTCCAAAACAGAACCAGAAAAGAACCTCACAGAGCAATTTAATATGAAGCAAGATAGCAAGTACTAAGGATATTTAATGAAAGTGTAAATTTTTTAACAGTGTGCTGCTTGCTTTAGCCATAACTTCCATGAACTCAACATGTTTTTGGAAATATGTTATTTCTGTCTTATTAGCAAGTGGAAAGCATGACATCAATCAATCAACTAAGGATGTCCGTTCCAAGCAAAGTGACGAGCATGACATAGACAAATCTTGGAAGGATCTGCTTAATAACCCCAGTGAATGGTGGGATGTACGTTCAACAAAGGTTAGGGATTTCTCTCCTTGATTCATCTCCTTCGATTTGATCCTCTACTATCTGGCACTGATGATGGTTCCTTCAAATTTGTTTATCAAAATTTGGTGCAACTTAATGTCGTAGAATCCAAAAGGTGCAGCTTTTCAAAGAAAGAAAAATGGTGAATTACTCTTTGTCAATAGCTCAACTCCCAAATGGCTCCTGGAGAAATGTGATTCGATTACAATTGATTTGAAACCTGAACTGAAACACTCAATAAGTAAGTATAGATCCATACTCTTTTCTTTTTTATAGTAATTGGCTAATTGGATTCTTTGAGCATTCCAAAAATCCCAATCTACAGCCAGTGCAAAGAAGGACCCAGACTCTTCATTGAGTCCTTGGAGAGACCTCCTAGATAATCCAAAGCAGTGGAGTGATTTCCGTGACAGCAAACTGAATAAATTGGTAGTGATTGATGACTTATCACTTGGGGTATCCTTTTCTCTTTGACGAGTTTATTTGGGGGATCTTTTTATATTTCTATCTACTTAGTAGGTGAATCCAAGGCACCCTGACTTCAAGCGTAAGGATGGCAGTCTTTCCCTCTGGCTTAATAACCGGGCTCCAACATGGGTTTCATCTGAACTGGAAGGACTGGAGTTTGATGATGCGGTTGTTAAATCCAAACAAGCAGACAACTGTAAAGGTCTGTATGAAGAACTTCCTTTTTCATAAAGATCTTCCTATGCATCATAAGAATAATTGTGATGCATGACAGACTTGGTACAAAGAGATTCTCAGTATGATTGGGTGCATACCAAATTCAAAACAAATTCAAATTTTTATTTTTGTAGCCTGGAGATACTCTCCATTTTTATATAATGTTCAACGTCTCATGTTTTTTTGGGCTTCTGCAATTTATTATTCCTCATGTCCTATTTCCATTTCATTTTTCTTCCTATATGTTTTATCACCATATTATGTCTTATTACATGCATCCCAACTAGGTTTAGGTGATCAGTCCTGGAATGATTTGGTGGAAAATCCAACTAAATGGTTGGATAAGAGATCAGATAAGGTAACCCCATTTTCTGCTTTGTCCTTGGGTTTTTAAATCTAAACAAGTTTATTTATTAGATTTTGTTTATTGAGTTAATGGTTCATATTGATCATCAGACAAATGAAAGAGCTCCTGATTTCAAGCACAAAGAAACCGGTCAAGTGCTGTGGCTTAACCGGGCTCCAACTTGGGTTTTATCTAAACTGAAAGGATTGGAATTTGATGTTCCGGTTGTTAAATCTAAACAAGCAAAGAACACTAAAGGTCTGTATGAATAACCGACTTGCTTGTTCATAAGGACCTTCCGATGCATCATAAGTCATAACCATAATTGTGATGCATGATAGAGTTAATACTAAGGGATTCTCAGTATGATTGGATTCGTGTCAAATTCAAAACGAATTAATATTTTTTAATTTTTGTGGCTTGGAGATGCTCTCCGTTTTTATGTTCTGCTCAATGACTCGTCTTTTTTTTTTTTTTTGGGGTGGGGGATTCTGCAATTCAATATTCCTAATGTCATATTTCCATTTCTTTTCTTTTCCTATCTGTTTTATAACCATATTATTTTTTATTACATGTGTCCCAACTTGGTTTAGATGATCAGTCCTGGAATGATTTGGTGAAAAATCCAACTAAATGGTGGGATAATAGATTAAATAAGGTAACCCCATTTTCTGATTTGTCCTTTGGGTTTTAAATCTGCTAAAGTTTGTTTAACGCTTTATTAGATTTTGTTTATTGATTGAATGGTTCATTTTGATCTTCAGAAGAATGAGAGAGCTCCTGATTTCAAGCACAAGGAAAGTGGTGAAGCATTGTGGCTTAATGGTTCACCAAGTTGGGTGTTATCAAAATTGCCACCCTTGGAGCCTAAACAAAGTGTAGAAACTGGCTGGAAACAGACACTGGTTTCATGAGGCGGAGGAAAGAGAGGCAAAGAATGAAGTCCTCATCTAGATGTCATACTCATGGGTTTTTTATCAAAGGAGTTTGGGACACTTTTGGCCAGCTGGAAAGGGGTGTACCATGTAGGCTAGGCTAAGATGCATGTTCTCAGTGTCTTCATATGTTGCGCCATATGCACAGATATCATTATAAAAGAAAAAAAAAATATGCTTCTTTTTTTCCTCTCTTTTTTCACATGGAAGAACCCTAAGCTTTGATTGTGGCGTTTCATATGGTTTGATAATAATAATATACTGTCTTTTAAATTAAGGGGGGAGGGGCGCAAAGTATCCTTACAGACGATTATGGATTTTTTCACATGGCACATCGTCCTCCTTATAGACTTTGTCTTGACTTGGCCTTCGTATTTCTGGTAATGTTGATGGGCTTTCTATTAATTTTAAAAAATAAAGAAAAAATATGATAATCTGATAAAATCACAATAATAAATGTAAAATAAAAAATATATAAAGCCCTATCAATTTAAAATTGAATCAACTTAAGAAAGATAAGTGCTGAAAAGTCTCTCATGCTGTGTGTAATACTTATTACATTAGTATTAATCTTCTGTTGTCATTGAAATATGTTATTAGTCTCTCCTTTTCTGTTATTTTGTTTTTGTTTTTATTATCGCAATTGCAGATTAAAATTAAAAAAATAACCTAATGAATATTTCTTATAGTTAGCTTATTATGTGTATGATTAATTGTCGTTCTGCCGATGGTTCCTTACGTAATGATTTTAATATTTTTCATAATGATTGCAGTTAGTATTTTAATGGATATTGATTACATACATGGGTATAAACTCTACTAAATTGGTCATGCAATTTCCTTTTTCAATGTTGTATCTATTTATACGCTAATTTGGTTAGAGTATTAAAGATCAACTATACATGTAATTATCCTCCAATATATTTTGGCAAGCTTGAATGCTCTCGATCTTGGCTTAGTGGGCTCAATCAATTCATTTTTTCAATCTTGTATTCATTTATGCTCCAATTTGGTTGGATTATTAAGGATCACTAATTATACATGTAATTATCATACGATAGATTTTGGCCTATCTTGAATGTTGGTAGGCTTTGGCCAAGCTTGAATGCTCTCAAGATTGCCATGGTGGGCTCCATGAATTTTATTTTTAAGTAGATCCTATTTGTGTTGCTCTGTTTTCCTTCTTTTTTTTCTTTTTCTTTTATATATAATTGTTTTTTTATCTTTGTTTCTTAGTATCACAACCGGATCATAATGTCACGGTGAAAAATTAAAATTAAAAAAAAAAAAAGTCGCCAACAAAATTTACCTGGAAAAAAAAAACCCTTTTGTAAAAGAAAATGATCTTTTATAAAAAATAAATAAATTTAGGAGTCAATTACAGAGAGAAAAAGTTTTAGCACTATATTCCATCCATTTTAAAAATAGAAATAGCTATGTATAAAAAAAGAAGAAGAAGAAATAGCTGCACTATATGAATTATACAAATTATTAATAAACTTTAAACACAATAGATAATTAGATATCAACACATAACTACATAAGTGAGCTTTAAACACCCAATCACAAATTATTCCCGACTTTATCCACGCAATTAAATTTTTCAGATGTAAAATAGATAAGGAAACTAAAGCAAGAAAGTTCTAATACCAATTTAATATCAATAAGAGAGAGAGAGAGAGAGAATTAATGAATAAAAGCCTAGGATTTAACATCTCTTGCTACTTAACTTGAGTCAATGCACTGTTGCTACCAGCATATTCTTTTCAACACTTTTTTTTTTTTTTTTTTTTAAAAAAGAAATTTATTAGGCCATATCCTATACTTGTTTTAAAAATTCTTTTTCTTTTTTAAAAAAAACATTATTAAGTGTAGGACATGAATAATTTGGTAAGTGAATATCCAAAAACAATATGAAGAAAATCAGAAAAAAATCTCTCATTTCTTGAGAGTTGAGATGCAGGCAACATTACTCTCTAGGGTTTGTGGAGAACTCTTCCGGCCAGCAAAGCTGCTTCCATGACTACATTGATAACTTCAATAACATCATCCACTTGGCACATGTTACCCTTGAATGTAGGGCCCCTCGTGTTCTTAAATTCGTTCATGCAGTTTATTAATGTTTGGCTGCACTCTTGGCTTAGGTAGTCATCTGCATAACACCACCATTAATCAGTACTTCCCATGATTTTCAAAGCAGAGTGAGGGAGAAAAGATACAATAAGGGTCATAATCAAGCCAAGTACTTACCAAGTTCAGAATCAATTATCCAAAACTGAATTATTTAGATGAAGGGTCAAGATTAGTTTCTATACATGTCCCTAAACTTCATACATATGCAGGAAATTGGAGGTGTAAATGGGTTAGATCGATATGGAATTACTGTCTAGCCTATATTAGGTCAGATTTGACCTACTACAAATAGTCAAAAATAACACGCCTAGACTTTTAAAAAAACCTATTTAGAAAACAGGTTATAGACTTTTTTATACATGTCGGGCCCATAAGACTACAGACCGGCTTATATTATATTTATTTTAATAATTTTGAATAATAAAGTAATATTTATTTAGTTATTTTTTTATTATTTAATGTTGAATAGGCTTAAACAGGTTAATAGTCTTAAGGAAAGACTTTTATTTTTTTAAATATAAGTCAGCCCAAACATGTAATTTGGGCCTACACAGGTTAACAGGCTAGGTCAAGCCTAAGATTTTTTACACAGACTTAACAAAGTGTAGCCTAACCTAGTTCATTTATACCCCTGTCAGGACACATTAATATGCTGATCAAGACTTTAAATCTGGAATACAATAATATAAGATGTTTTAATTAAAAAGATATTAATAGAACTCACTGTTTTTGTCTCCTACACATTTATCATGCTTCATACAACAAGCATCAAGGCCATCACAAGGTCTTTCTCCAGGGCATCCACTATACAGAAGCCCACAGTACTTGCCATATCTCAATAATGGAGGCACTGTCATTGCAAAATTAGATAGTACATTTGTTTATAATAGCCACCATGGCATGGTTAACAAATTAAACCTTAATCTAATCAAGTAAATGGAATTAGACATGTACCTGCGCAGAAACTTGACTCACATTGTCTGCTACACTCTTTGCTCTGCAGATGAATGAATATATATAAGAAGAAAAACAAGAGAATTAAGAAAGTGCTAATTTTATATGTTAATTAAACTTAGTTAATGCGTACCACAGAGACAGCAACTCCGGTGGTTTCAGCTCCAATGTTGAGAGCATAGAGGGGAATGGCTAAGAAGTTAAGGACAAAGGTACAATAAAAGAGCACAAGAGCATATTTGAGTGACTGGGTTGGAACCATTTTTTGTGGAAAACCAACAAAAAGAATAAAATAAAGAGATTAATTGAAGTATGTGAAGCTTAGTTTTGCTTAAAGGCTCAGATTTATAGGATGAAAGGGGTAGAAAGACAGCGAGTGAGACGTGTTAGATTTCACAACAAATTCTCAAAGACTTGGCAGACACATCTCAGAAACAAAGAGTGGAGGGTAGGTGGTTTGTTTTGTAGTCGCTCGTGACTGTATTATTGCAATTACTTTAAAATTAGTCTTTTGTAACATTTTTTATGCCTTGTTCCCGTTGTCATTGCGAGCATTACAAATTTTAATCATTGTTATTGTATACTGTCATTAAACAAGTTTAATTTTACACCCAATACATAGAAAATTACTATATGTAAATATATATATATATATAGGGAGCGTTATATTTATAAACTTTTTGTTTACAAACTACACTATGTTCTCCTGTGAGTACATAGTATAATTTGCAAAAATTTGTAAACGAATCCTTTCCCATATATATATATATATATATATATATATATATATATATATATATATATACTTTTTTTTAGTTATTTGCCATTATATTATTAAATATTATTTAAAAATATAAAAATATTTTACGTTACCTTAATGCATCAAATTTATAAAACTATTAAGAAAGGAAACAAACCCTTCTCTGGGGGAGGTTAGGTTCATTCTCTATCTCAACTAGTGAACCACTTGGTTGGTACCTGCTCCAAGTGGCCATTGGTTGTAATGAAAATGTATATTAAGTATCCTAAGTAGATAGGGTAAATTATTCTATCCGATTATATATAGAATTTCTGATATAAGTACAAACTGCTCAAACGAAGGATTGATATAATTCATATTAGAAATCGAGTTTTATATTAATAAACATCGCTTACATATATTTTTAAAATAAGTAAAATACAAAAATTAAAAATTAAAAGAGAAAAATCATATTGTAAATACTTAAAATCATAATAAATTAAATTTGAGTTTTATAATACTAAGTATAAGTGCAAAAATAGCTATAGATTAAGAGAAAGAAAAGCAAGGGAAAACAAATCCCACGTGGATTGGATGAGTCAGCAGTGGAAGGAGGAATTAGTGAGAGTGGTCATGTGGATGGCAATAACAAAAAATAACAGCAAATAACTAGAGGTGTACATGGAGCGGTTCGGTTCGGTTCGATTATTGTCATAAACCAAACCAAATCAGTTTTAAACGGTTTGGATTTTAAACCGAACCATTTTTTAAAAAAAAAAAAAACGGTTTTTAATTTGTCCAAATCGGTTTTAAAACGGGTTTGTGGTTTATAACCGGTTTTAATTCAAAACCGGTTATGAATTATAAACCGGTTATCAAGTTCAAAACCGGTTTTTTAACAAATTCAAAATTGATTTTTGATGGATTGTGCTATTTTTATAAGTAGTCGTTTGTTTCTCCCGGTTATAGGTAGTTGACCAACAATTTCTTGTAAGAATCTTCATTGTTTTGGAACTCTTAAGACGAAATGATTCTTATAGAAATTGTTCACGTTGTTTTTACGAAAAACATTTCTATCAAAATTTTCGGCAAAATTTTTTGACGAAAAATATTTTCATCAAAATTTGTGACTAAAAACATATCTGTAAAAAAATTTGATGGAAAAATTTTTTTGTCGAATTTTTTTAGGGAACATAAATTTTGTCAAAATATTTCACAAAATAACATTCATCGAAATTTTTGACGAAAGAATATTTCTATCAAAAATTTTCACGAAACACATTTCCTTCGAAAACTTTTGACGGAAAAAAATTTCATCAAAATTCTTTACGGAATTCAAATTCCGTCAAAATTTTTTGACGGAAACATTTTCGTTAAACTTTTTGACATAAAAATTTCCGTCGAAATTTTTAACGAAACACATTTTCATCGAAAATTTTCGACGAAAAATATTTCCGTCGAGTTTTTTGATAAAAAAACATTTCCATCAAATTTTCAATGGAACACATTTCTAAGAAAAATTTTCGTATAAATTTTATGACGAACAATATTTCGATAAATTTTTTTGACAAAACTATTGTTCGTCAAAATTTAAGGGAAATGATTGGAGGGAATTTAGATTCTGCAAAGAACTTTGACAAAAAATTTTTTATAGAAATATTTTCCATAAACAAAATTTTGAAATATTTTTCGTCAAAATTTTTTACGTAAATATTTTTGGTCAAAATTTTCGCTGTAAATGTGTTTTGTTGAAAATTTTGTTGGAAATATTTTCGTCGAAAATTTGGAAGGAAATATTTTCCGTAAAAAAACTTGACGTAATTATTTTTTGTCAATTTTTTTTTTGTGAAAATGAGTTTCGTCAAAAATTTTTACAGAATTATTTTTCGTTGAAAAGTTTGACAGAATTGTTTTTTGCAAAAGTTTCGACGGAATTTAAATTCTATCAAAAATTTTGACTGAAATATTTTGACCCTCAAAAATTTATTACAGTGATTATGACAAAATCTTGTTTCGTCTCTATTTTCGACGAAATTTTTTTCGTCTCTATTTTCTACGTAATATGATTTTTGTCAAAAATTTTGACGAAATATTTTTCTTCGATAAATTTTGTTAGTATTTGAGACTTTTCTAATAATGTCACATTTAAAAATGATTCATATTTATGTAATTTTTATATTTTAATGTTAAGGATAAAAGATAATATTTATTTGTTCTTTAATTGTAAAATAGTTTGGTTATGGATAATCATAGATATCCAATTATTTTTATGGTTTGGTAAATAACTAGTTTATAAAATAAATTGCAGTTTTATATGAAACCGGTTTTTAAAAATAACCGATTTTTAAAGTGTGGTGCAGTTTGGTTACGGATCTGTTTGATTCTTTTGAACATTTTGAACACCTTACAAATAACAACAACAGGGGAAGGGTCACGCGTACAGCAAAAGGTTGTTACCAAGTCTGTTACAAATAGGTGGTGAGTTTGGAGGAGCATCACCCTTGACAATTGGGAACTTGAGACTTTTGGGAGAGAACCAGAGCCTCTATAAGTGTTCTGGATAGTAGTAATCTGTAGTAGCTATCTCAAGCTTCTAATTGCCACATTGTTATTTTCTTTTCCATACTTATAATTTTCCCTTTTATGCTTGTAATTGTCATTAAAAGTACTGTTGGAAACTATGAGATTGGACCTGAGTTTCGATTCAATACTATTAATACGAATTTATTTCAGTAATTTCAATTTTCTTTTATCTCTGATACCTATCATTTGGTATCAGAGCTCTTCGAATTCCAGGGAGAGCTTGCATGGTTGTGTGACAAGAAGTATGGAGACTAGGTTCGATGAACTATCAGAGAGGGTACGTCGTAACGAAGAAAGTCATATGGAGATTTTGAGGAGATTGGATGCTTTGCTGAATCAACCAAACAAAGGTTTAGCGGGGCCAAATCACCAAGAAGGAGATCGATCAACTCGAACGAACGACAAAAATGGAGAGGATAATGCAAATGCGCATGGAAGAAAACTAGAGTTACCAGTTTTTTTTTTGGTGAAGACGTATTCGGCTGGTTGAATAAGGTGGAGCATTATTTTCGAGTAAATAGATTAATAGATGAAGAAAAGCTGTCAACGGTGTTGTTGGTGATGAAAGGGGAAGCGTTGAATTGGTTCCAATAGTGGAAAATCAACTAAGCTAATGCCACCTAGGCGAGTTTTAAGATAGATGTCTTGAGTAGATTTCAACTGAAATTGGATGATAATCCTTATCGTTCTCTATTCACATTGAAGCAGACGGGGGAGAATGGCGGATTACCGAGTGGCTTTTGAGCAAGTAGTAAGTCATTTAAAATTTGAAGATGGAGAGGTGCTTAGGGGAGCATGACTCAATGGGTTAACTAATAGCATTAGGGAAGAATTGCTCATGCATCCCATGAACAAGCTTTCTGAGATGATGAAGATAGAATGCAGGAATCAGGCGTGGGTTACTGAAGGAGTTGGACGGATGGGCTTGGGGCAAGGTGTTGGTTCGTCCAAATGGGCCCAGGCTGCAAAGGGTGGAGCTAGTTATGTCTCGACCTGGATATCTAATGCAGATCAGTCTAACTTAAATGGCCCAAAATCTAATATGCCAGAAACTTCCTCCGTTTCAGCGACGACCAAATCGAACCTTAATACTCAGAACTCTTTGATCAGAAGTTCTCGTCCAATGGAAGGTCAATCTAACAGCGATGGTTGGAGCGCTGGCCGACATTTATCCCAAGCGAAGTTGCAGGAGCGTTCGCATTGGGGCTCTGCTTCAAATGTGAAGATCGTTGGAACACTATGTAAGGTGTGTTAGTTCCAAGTGCTCATCGTAGACGAAGAGGGAGAGGAGGAAGATGATATAGTGGTAGGAGACGAAACCAAGACAACAGTGGGTCAGCAAGAAGGTGAGGAAGCTCTTCAAATTTCCATGCATAGGCTCTTGGGGTTGTCCTCCAATCAGACCATGAAGCTTTGGGGTTTGGTCGAGAGTGAACCGATAGTGACCTTGATTGATTGTGGAGTATCCCACAACTTTATTAGCAAGAGTGTAGCGGACAAATTGGGGTTGAAGGTTGATACTACTCCATGGTTTTGGGTGGAGGTTGGCGATAGACATAGAATGACGTGTCAAGGAGTGTGCATGGGAATACTCGTTGAGTTACAAGGACAAAAAATCTGTAAAGATTTATATTTATTTGATTTAGGAGGGGCTGATATGGTTTTGGGGTTGGAATGGCTGACTGGATTGGGTGAAAACAAGGCTAATTTCAAAGAGATGGCTTTGAGGTTCGAAAAGAAGGGTAAAGAGGTGTTGCTTCGTGGAGACCCATCCTTATCAAGAGTTGTGGCTTCAATGAAGTCCATTATGAAGGCAATACATGATGGGGGAATATGATTTCTTGTAGAACATTATCTAATGGGCAGGCATTTTGTGGCAAAAATTGACCAGAAGAGTATGAAATTCCTTACTGATCAAAGGGTATTGGGGGAAGAACAATAGAAGTGGGCCTCAAAATTGCTTGGATTTGACTTTGAGATACATTATTAGCCTGGAAAGGAAAATAAGGTAGTTATTGCACTTTCAAGATAGTTGCAGTTTTCTACTATTTCACAAGTGGAATTGGAAAATTTCACGAATTTGGAGGAGGAGATAAATGCTGATCCACTGTTGTGTTCTATAATCCCAGACCTTTTACTTGATCCTAAGTCACATAAAGGTTTTGAGTTATATGGTGGGAGATTACTGTTTAATGGTAGGTTGGTGATTCCAAAACAGTCCAAGATGATTCCCTTGACACTAAAGGAATTCCATGACTCACAGGTGGGAGGACATTCATGGGGCGTTCAGAACTTAAAAAGAATTGCTAGAGTAGTATATTGGGAAGGAATGATGAAGAAAATTAAGGAATATATTGCAGCTTGTCATGTCTGCTAGCAATATAAAATTTAGAATCTATCATATGCAGGATTACTACAGTCCTTGCCCATTCCTACCCAGGTTTAGGCTGTTGTGTCCATGGATTTCATTGGTGGCCTACTCAAAGCATTTAGGGTGGATACTGTCTTTGTAGTGGTCGATAAAATGACTAAATATGCCCATTTTATAGTTGTTTGTTATCGATATTCAGCTAAAGACAATGCTGGAGTTTTTATTCGAGAAATAATAAGATTACATAGTTGTCCTAAAACCATAGTGTCTGATTGTGGTAAGATCTTTCTCAACACTTTTTGGTTTGAGTTGTTCAAGATGGTTGATTCTACTATACATTACACCACTGCCTATCATCTACAGTCAAATGGGCAAATAGAAGTGGTTAATCGTTGCTTGAAATCATACTTGAGGTATTTTTGCAGCCCGAAACCAAAACAATGGCCCAAATGGCTGCATTGGACTGAGTTTTGGTTTAACACCACTTACGAAAAAAGTCCACTACAATGACACCATTCAAAGCCTTATATGGTTATGAGCCACCAAGTCTGTTTCGGGAAAGCCATCAGCATTGTGTGGTTGAGGAGGTTTTAGTAATGCTACAAGAGAGGGATGTTGTTCTTGATGAATTACACCATCACTTGTGCAGGCCCAAAATTGAATGCGGATTCAAGCCAACAAACAGAGGAGAGAAGTAGTCTTTGAAGTGGGAGACATGGTGTATTTAAAAATCCAACCATACCGTTTAAAGCCCTTGGCATGAAAAATTAATGAGAAGTTGAGTCCACGATTTTATAGCCCTTATAAAATTTTAACTCGAGTTGCTGAGGTGGCCTATAAGCTAGAGCTTCCTCCTGATTGGAGGGTACATCCAGTGTTCCATGTTTCACTATTGAAGAAGGCCATTACACCTGCAACAGTGGTTCAACCACTGCTCTCTATTTTATCTGCTGAATGGGAGCTGTAAACTGCACCTAAGTTGGTGAGGTGACCTATAAGCTAGAGCTTCCTCCTGATTGCAGGGTACATCCAGTGTTCCATGTTTCACTATTGAAGAAGGCCATTACACTTGCAACAGTGGTTCAACCACTTCTCTCTATTTTATCTGCTGAATGGGAGCTGTAAACTGAACCTAAGGAGGTTTTGCAAAGGAGATATAGCTCTCAGGGGAATTTGGAGGTGCTGATTAAGTGGAAACACTTACCATCTTTTGAAAATACATGCGAATATTTTTTTATTGCTTAATAATCAATTTTCCATGTTCCACCTTGAGGACAAGGTGGTTAAAATAGGAGGGAGTATTGATACAATCACCAGGGACAGATTTGGGAATGTTTACAAGAGAAAGAAAAGTAGGGAATACAAGTCCCACGTGGACTGGATGAGTCAGCAGTGGAAGGAGGAATTAGTAAGAGTGGTCATATGGATGACAATAACAATAAATAATAGCAAACAACAATAGCAGAGGGAGTGGTCACGCGCACAACAAAAAGTTGTTACCAAGTCTGTTACAAATAAGTGGTGAGGTGTGAAGGAGCATCACCTTGGACAATTGGGAACTTGGGACTTTTGGGAAAGAACTAGAGCCTCTCTATGTGTTCTGGATAGTAGTAATATTTTGTAGCTATCTCAAGCTTCTAATTGCCACACTAGTATTTTTTTTTTCCATACTTGTAATTTTCCTTTTTATACTTGTAATTGTCATTAAAAGTACTGTTGGAAACTATCAGGTTGGACCTGACTTTCGGTTCAATATTATCAATACGAATTTATTTTCAGTAATTCCAATTTCTTTTATCTCTGATACCTATTTGATTATTAGGCTTAAGATCTAATAGACTTAGAAGATATATACACCTTAAAGAGCAGTTTTTACGAACTGAAGTTTTAATTGTAATGAAAATTTAACATCTAGATATGCAAATGAATCGCCTGAATTTATTTAACCACTCCAAATTATTCCTCGACTTTAAATCCAGTTGACACCAGCTGACATTGTAGTCCTTCTTTTTGTACCAACTAACGATTTGTATGGATGAGCTCATGAGCCTATCTCTGTTAGTGGATGAATTGCTTACCCACGAGGCCATTACCAATGTGGTTCTCTCAAACCAATGGACATAATAGGGTTGGCCCAGCTTGACAATTCGAGTTTTAATAGATATTGTAGAGTTCTAGAGACTTCGTGCCATAGATATTCTGAGACATTCTTCGTTCCTATGTATACTCACTACTATTTAATTTATATATGACTAATAAGAATTTAGTTAGTTATAATTAAATTTTAAAAAGTTACTATTGGATAAATATTAAATTTATTAGTTACTATTGATTACTAGTACAAAATAGGATTTGAGAATCCCAAATAATTAATAATAAGAAAATTGTGTTAGGCTTTGTTTGGGAGTTTTAAAAGGAAGGGAAGGAAGGAGATCCAAAGGGGAAGGATGGGAAGGAAGCGAATGAAATTGAAGAGTATTCCCTTTCCTTGTTTGGGAGACAAAAAAATGGTAAAAAAGAAAAATTGAGGGTTAATGAGATATTTTTACCATTTTATCCTTTTTTAAAATTAATATAATTATTATATTATGCAAATTAAATTAAATTAAATTTAAAATTTCTAACAAAATTATTTATGTACTTGTCACAACACCAAAAAAGATCATATTTCCGATGAAATTTTTACGTTGCAAACGATGAAATTTTCGTCACAAAGTTATTTTTTTCGTCGGAATAGTTTTTGTCGAAAAACGACAGAATTTTTCAACCGATGAGAATTTTTACAAAAATAAATTTTCTATCAAAATTTTCGACGAAATTTAGTTTCCATCAAAAGTTTTGACGAAAATGATTTCCTCCATCAAATGTTTTAAACGAAAAAAGAATTCCGTCAAAAATTTTGACGGAACATTTTATGTTCAAAATTTCGATTAAAATGTGTTCTGACAAAAATTTTGACAAAAATTGTTTTGTTAAAAATTTTGACGAAAATGTTTCATTCGAAACTTTCGACGAAATTTAGATTCTGTAAAAAAAATTTGTCAGAAAATTTTTTCCATCAAAATTTTGTGTCAAAATATTTTACAGAAATATTTTCTGTTCAAAATTTTTGGCAGAAATGTGTTCCGTTGAAAATTTTGCTGCCAATGTTTTTTATCAAAAACTTGATGGAAATATCTTTCGTCGAAATTTTTTGATGGAAATGGGTTTCGTTAAAAATTTCGACGGAATTTAAATTCTATCAATAATTTTGACTGATTTTCTTTTTCGTACTAGATTTATGTTAGTGGTTATGACAAAATCTGGTTCCATCTCTAATTTCGTCTTTAGTTTTGACGGAAATTTTTTGACGTATATGATTATCATAAAAAATTCACTATTTTTGACGAAATATTTTTCGTTAATAAATTCTATCGGTATTTGAGACTTTTCTAATAATATCGCATTTAAAAATGATTTACAATTATGTAGTTTTAACATTTTAATGCTAAGGGTAGATAAGTAATTTTTAATATTTGCCCCCTCAAACCCTCCAAATTGGGGGAACTTTAATTTTAAGAAGAAGGAAGATTTAGTAAAAATCTCCAATTTCTTCCCCCCTTTTTTTTTAACTCACAAACATGATAAAGACTTATTAAAATCCTCTCTTTCTTTTCCTTTCCCTCTTAAAATCAACTCTCAAACAAAGCCTTAAGGAATAAGATCATAACCTTAACCATCTAGAGAAACCAAGTCTTCTAAAATTGATCTTTCCATCTATTTGATTCGTATGGGATTGTAATTATATGAGCCTTTAGGATAATCACACGTCACCAAAAAAGAAAAAGAAAAAGTGAGAAAGCCAATTTTTTTTCCAAAGTTCAATGGTTAGTGCATCTAACACGTCCTATTTTTTTTTCCTATAATATCATCCTAGATTCCGAGGCAAGAGGATAATCCGAGAGAAAACGGAGGAAGGGCCATGGTTAGAAAGATTTTGTATATGAATTAAGTTTTTTTTTTTTGTATATGAATTAAGTTTAAACTAGAAAATTATCAAGTTGACATTATAATCATATATACGTTATATTTGTACACTCTCCACACTCTCTCTCAACAACCCCTTGCACACTTATATACTGTACAATTACATTGTATCCATGGGTGATATGAAACCGAAAGATCACACTTAAAAAAAGAAGAAGATGAAATTAAAATGGTTGTTAGGTAAAGTATTGAATTAGAGGAGCTTCCATGCCTTGCCTCCATCCATATTAAATTTCTTGAGCCTTCCAAAGAACATGACGATTATGAGAATGATCTTTCCCTCATCGCTCCAATTTCCAGAAAATCCAATCCACTTATCTTGGCAGTTTGGCTCTCTATGCAACTGTCTGTCACAACTGTATCCTGTAGTAAATCCTACGTTTCCATACGCGCTGTTTACATCAAATACGCATATGTTAACCATACAAATAAACAAAATGAATTCATGTTCAAAAGAATTATTATCAAGAGAATATATATATTTTACAAAAGTAAAATTCATTTTGAAATACGATTGTTAAATTTTTTAAAATTTATTAGGTCAATTGCTCAAAACAAAAATATATTGGTTCAATCTTACTAAACTCAATTTTAATTTTATTTTATTTTAATGGCATAGGTTTTTTTTCCTAAAAAAAATCATTAAGTTCCATATCAGGAGATCGAATTTGGCGCTCCCGCGCACAAGATATAAGGTGGGGCGGAGGTGAAAGAAAAAAATCAATGTGTCACTCCCTTAATAGGAGGACCACCATGTGGCCAGGAGCATGTTAAAATTTTTTCCATATCAGAAGTAGCATGTAATAATAATCAATTCTAAAACTTTATTTAAATATTATTCATAGAAAAATTGCTGTATACTGTTCGAATTAAATAATATATATTTTCTTAAAAAAAAATCTGATACTGTAAAATCAAATAAATTTATATTTTTTTTTAAAACAAAAAAATTCAACAAGCATGCAATTAGCTGTTCAACCTTTTTTTTTTCTTTCAATATTTGCCATTTTTTTATAAATGGACCGTATGGGCACCGTTAATTGTTATGAAGCAGCTCTGAAATTATTATGGTGTCATGGATGGACCATTTTGTTTGATGTCCATGTGAATGGGGACCACAAGCCCATTGACAAAAACCAACACCTGTTTGTATTTTTGTCAAGGTGGTGTGTTTCATAATAACCAAGTGAATTTTTATTTATTTATATATATATTTTTTTTGTCATGCAACAAGTAACATGACATTCTCAATAAAATACAATTAAGTTATTGAGCTTTGTCGTTTATTTTTAAGATTAAATTTGATTCACTTTATTTTCCGTGTAAAACTTTTTATACTATCATGCATATGTATAAATGTCTTATTAAAAGAATAATATTTTCAAATAATTATTTTAATAGTCATGATTTTAATGATAATACATAATTTAATTAAGGTGTAAAAAAAAACATAAATCGTATTAAAAAAAATTTAAATCAAAATCAAACTAGTTAGTTAATAAATTCTCTCAAAAATGAAATATGGAAACTAGTTATAGTATTAGTAAGTGAATGAACCAGGAACTGAAACTTTTCAATTAACATAAGTTTAAGGGTTTAGGTTAATTTAAAAAAGTTACGCAATTTATAATTTTGAATAAAAACGAATTATGTCTATGGAATTAATAGAATTCTTACCTGATAACTTCAATAACAATATTCAAGACGTTGAAATTGAGAGGATCCTCCTTCAATTTTTTCCTCTCAGTAATGCACACGAGTATGATGAATATGACTAAATAGGAGAGTTGCGAGAATATCAAATTCTCCAAAACTTTTCCTCTTCTTTTTTTCATCCTATCACAACTTTCTGAGTCCTGCTCATCCTCTTTCATTGGAAGGAAAGAAGTGTAAGGAGGAAGGTACCTGTTCATGTGAGCACACGTATATACATATCAGTGGTTATTTAGTTAATTACCCTACAACAAGACAATATTAGATAGAGGTTTGCATTTATCATTTAACATGACACAACAAAGTTTCCTACACACACAACATTTTGTGGGACTCACACTTTTTGAAGCAAAAAAAAAAAAAAAAAAATTACGGCACGCAAAACGAATCTCTATAACATTACACAATCACTTTTCCTACAACATAACTCTTATAACACCCTATTATATATGAGTTCCATTTTTATTATGTTGCTGGAAAAAGTTTATCTGTAGCAACTCATTATAACTATGTATTATGAGTAATATATAGTTATAATAGTAAAATTATTTTTTCTTTCTCTATTACATTAGCCAATAATGTATGAAGAGAGAGAAAAAAAATTTAATATTATAAATATATACTACCTACAATACGTAGTTATAATGGATTGGTGCAGATAACTTTTCCTTAATTTTTTTTTACAAACAATGATTTTCCATTATATATATATATATATATATATATATATATATATATTGGTAAATAAAATTGTAAATACACATTATTTTATTCAACAACAATAGAAAGAAGGAAAATTAGCGCGTCAAAGAAATACAAATTGTTTGGTTACTTAAAAGGATTAACAAATACTTTCATACCGCGTGGCTTTGTCAAATAACATTTGAGACATTTTCTAGGTAATTCTATTATTATTTGACCCGTCTTTTACCTCACATTTTTTTCGCCGATTGACTTGTCGTTGATACTTGACGGGTATAAAGTTTATGTTTGAAACCTAGTATTTATTTCATCTTAAATTCACTCTGGAATAATTGCAGTATTAAAATAACAATGATTGGATTATAATATATATGGGGATGCAAAATAATTCAATTTTTTTTTATTAGGAGAAGTCAAATTATGGAATCTGCATTATTAGGAGAAGTCATTTCCATTTCCATTTTTTTATTAGGAGAAGTCAAATTATGGGAATATAATTGAAAAATGGAAATGATTAGCTAGGACGGTGACAATATATCATGGGATGTTTAGGAAGAAGAGTTCAAACTACTTAAGTAGGGAATATTTTTTGATGCTCCATGTCCATGTGATCGTTTCATTCAAGAGGTGATAAAAAGTTTTTTTTTTTTTTTTTCTCTCTTCTTTTCTTATTAATTATATAATTTTGATTGATCTGGAGCAGTGAAATTCATCTCTTAACCTAGGAGGGGAAAGTGTATTATTTTAATGTAATCATTGCGTAATAATGCAGATTTCAGATTTCAAATTTAGGGGGGGGGGGGGGGGTTCGTGTAAATTCAAGTTAGTATTTTGTCACGGTTTGTGTGGTAGGTGGATATAGATCTACTGCAAACTGGGGCAGCCTATATCTGCTGGCTGCTTTCGTAATGTATTTAAGACGAGAGAGCAACATGCAATGGACCTGCGTTTCTGTCGTGAGTGTGTGTGTGTGGGGTTTTTTTTTTCCTTTCTTTTCTGTTTTTTTATTTTTATTAATTCGGAATTTTTTCTTCGTTTTGAGCTTTACAAGGTACTCGAGGGTTAAGAAAAAAGATTCTTTTTTTTTGTTTTGTTTTGTTTAATTTCTGCATGACTGCATCCCTTTACTTCAAATTAACCACATAATTCGGAATCCCAAAGGGACATTTTAATGAAAATAAATTAATTAATCCTACAAAAAAAATCAACTTGGTTTTTTATGCTCATATCCCTTAGGGTCTGTTTGGAGCACCTCATAAAGAAGATAAAATAGGATAACTTATCATATCTTACTTTTATCTCTTGTTTGGTGGATTAACAAGATATGATTAGTTTATCTTATTGTCTCATTTTATCCTATCCAATACATGATTTCTTATCCTATGGGAAGAGCTAAGTTAGGATTCAACACGATAGAATACCAATATTGAATACCCAATATATTCCCACGCTACCCAATATATTTATATTTATTGCGTTATATTTTACTTTTTTCTTTCTCCTTTCTCCTTCTACATAATTTTATCAGATTGCTAATCAGGTGCTCATAAAAAAATATAGGACATGATATAGGTTTATCAGCCTCATATCATATTCTACCCTTATCAGCCTCATATCATATCTTACCCTTATCCTATCATGTCCAACCAAACGAGCCCTAAAATTTGTCATAGAAAAGAGTTTATTAAATCTTGATTTTTTTGAATTTAAAATGTTAAATAAAAGTAGAATGTGTTGTCTTATTTAATTTTTCCTCTAAAGTTACGTTTCAAAATGATATATATTATTTGTGGAGAGAGAGAGAGAGAGAGAGAGAGAGAGAGAGAGAGAGAGAGAGAGAGACTAACATCATGACCACAAATAAGACCAAGATGGCCTGCGATAGAGTTGACAGGTCCACAATGGTTTCTCCCGTGTGTCTGGAATTCACACTTTGAAACAATACGCCAATGAATTTCTGATATGCATTCAACCCCATCAAAGCTTCTGAATTCCAATCCATTGAACGAAACATTATAACTTGAACCAAAATAAACCCAAAAACAGTAGCTACCAGAAGAACAGAGTGTTTTCGTGGAAGCAAGTGTTTGTACCCAACCTCTTGTGTTTTCTTCAAAATGTACTTAGACTCTTTCTTCTTGTAAAATTTCCCTAAAAACCATATTGAAAACCTCAAGCAAGGAGGGAACAATGTGTTCCCAAGAAGGACTTGAGGAATAAGCATAAGAAGTAGACCTGAATTCTTCCTAAAAACAACCATGTTTTCGTTTGTTGGAACAAATCCACAGCTTGAAAAAGTTGAAACTACAGTGAAAACAGAGAATGTCAACATTTTCAACCCCTTGTTCTTTAACACCTCTTTAGCACTTGAGATAACGGACACGTAAAGAGACACCGCTAAGACCCCAATAACGTGGACAACTAGAAGGTAAACTAGAACTACATAACCCAAATATTTCATAGATAAATACCTCAAGTTTTCACTTGTGGTACCCAAAGACTCGTGAGATTCATTGTGAACCTCATTGGGTTTAGGTAGTGAACTCACTTGGTTAAAATTTGTGACCACCCCCAACTCAATTTGATCAACAATTATGGGATTTGTAGAACTTAGATTGCTATGAGAAGAAGCGATTTTATCTAGTTCGGTTTTGAACCTGGACCTAATGAAATGGAGTCCTACCATGGAGGTAAAGACTTCACCTCCTATGAACATCAAGATGGTCATAATGATTAACTGGGGGTTTGAAAAAACCTCCATTTCAACCGTTGCCATGCTTGAAACTGTTGTGGCTGAGACAGAGGTGAAGAACAAATCCAAGTTTTTAGGAGTAAAAGAGGGTGTTCTAGGCTTTAGAGCTTTGAGAACACCAAAGCCCAAAAATGAAAGAGATACAAAATAGACAATTTGAACCAAAAGAGGGTTTGCCCTCCGAAGGACGAAGCGACAAAAATATGTTAATAAGAAAAAACCTGATTTGCTATGACAAACAACTTTTTGACATGAAGCGCTACAAAGATGTTGCAGCTTTTTGCCAATACACAAAAACATATTCATCTTTTAATTTGTGTCTCTTAGAGAGGTACATATTAGCGGCAATGAAATGAGGGTATTTAAAGAAAAATATTTCCCACTCCAACTTCCCCCCCGTATGCTATCGTTTCTTTATTTCATATATTTTTAATGTGTGATAGAATATTATGTCCTTTCTTTTTGTATATTTACTTCTCTTGTAAAAGTTAGATCACAATCTCTTTCTCTCTTTCACGACATTCGTTATTGGTTGAGATTTTAATCTAATAGTTGTGAAGAAAAATAATTACAATAGATATAAAAATATATAGGCATAATATCTTCCTTTTATTATTGTAATATTTGTTTAATTGCCTGCCTTTTTCTTACAGCAGCCGTTTGATCCAGAGAGGGGATAACATGTGTATTTTGAGCTTAATCATTTGAGGTAAAATTCATAACTCAAGTTTGACTCGTCCTGTTATAACAATAATGCTATTTCTATAATATCTTTTATTACACTATTTTATTCTTAGATTATCAAATGAAGAACTCATGATTTCAATGCATTATTTCTATTTATTTTTAAACAAAAATGTTAGAGTATAAATGATAAGAATTTAATGTTTCTTCTGTACTCACATGAGAGTGGATAAAATCCCCTAAGAAGATAAGAGAAAAAAAAAAAACGAAAAAAAGAAATAGACTTCATCCACTAATTGTTATCTCCAACTTTCTGAGAATAAATTCTTTTTATAAAAAAATACAAGTAAATATATGTAGAGTGGCTCATGAATAGTTGCAATTACCAATTTATTTGCACCAATAACGCTTCCCGTGAATGATTGCACAACAGACAAAAATGGTGTGTAGGTCTGAATAGCTGTGTGCAGTTTTGAACAAGTCTTTACCAAGTCTGCTTTCTATTTAAGGTTGCACGTCTGTTCGAGGTCTGAGTTGCAATTAATAATGTTATTGGAGAGGGTATTGCATGTGTACTTTAGGTATGCAACTTTTTCTGCTTCCACTAGTTTATGGTAGATTTAGTTTTGTATGATTAGCGGGTGGAAAATAGTACACTTGTAGACTCCCAATTAGTAAATAACATGTATTATATTTTATTTTTTAAACATACCCCAATTACCTCTTTATAGCGAGTAGACTCCCTTAAGTAACTACAAGAAAATTGGTTTACAAAGGCGATTAAGACAGTTCAAACCGTCTCTAAATGGTTGGTTCGGCAGTTCATGAACTGTCTCGTTTACTACCGTCGTGAGGCAAAATGCATCGATTTTCACAAACCACTAGAATAACCGCCTCTACATGACAATCTGATGCGGTTATTTTAACCACCTACAAATAGTTAAAACTATATAAATTTTAAAATTTTAATATTAAAATTATTATTTTTAAAAGTTAATATAATATTTATTTTTAAATTTTTATTTTTAATATAATTTTTGACAATTATTAGTTAATGTAATCTTTTAAAAAATTATTTTTAAAAGTAATATAATTTTTATTAATTGAATATAAATAGCTTATTGAATTTTGTATATGTGTGTGTTAATGTGAGTTGTTATATAGAAAGGAATGGAGAAGGAGGAACAAAGGGACATCCAATGTGGGAGTTTAAAGTCAAGGTGGGATGATTTCTTTTTAATATGCAACAGCCATTTTTTAAAATTTATATATAACACCATATGATTCAACTTAAAAATCTAAATGGTCAGATTAAAGTATTACAAGAGAAGAACACACTGACCAAATTTGAGGATGATCCAACGGTTAAACAAAGAAATCTCCCTCTTTGAATCTCATTGTCCGATAGTTCATGAACCGCCTCTAAACATGCTTTGGAGGCGGTTATTTTAATCACCTCTAATGTACAATTTGATGCGGTTGATATGAAATCGCACCAAATGTGTACTAGGTGCGATTAAAATAACCGTCATCATTTACCATTCAGAGGCGGTTACATCAAAATCGCCTCTAATTGCTATATTTAGAGGCGATTATACCTCAACCACATTTAAATGCTAAATAGGGGCAGTTATTTTAACCGTGTCTAATATATATTTAGAGGTAGATATGGTTTAACTGCCTCTGAATATAAATGGGGGCGATTATTTTAACCGCCTCTAATACACATTTGGAGGCGGTTGATGTTAAACCGTCTTGAATCAATTGAACCGCCGAAAAAACCACCTCTATATGTCAATTGGAGGCGGTTTAAGGGAAACCACATCAGTTAAACATCCTCCAAATATCAGTTTTCTCGTATTCTTTCAAGCTTTGACTTTTAGAGCCGGCTATGGGACTAATTCGGAGTGCGGGGTGGGTCGGAGAAAAAGATTTTAAGCCCCTCCCAAAGGTGGCATCTGGAAATCGACCCGAAGCTCTTTTCTTTCCACTTCTCAGCTCTTGTGCACCAACTAAGCTACCACCATTTGGTAATAACATGTATTATATGATGAAATGGGATGCTAATCGATTCCCAAGATATTGATAGTCAATATTGATAATTGATAAGTGTCAAGGACATTATGTTTCTAGGATTAAATATATGTTAAATAATGATGAATGTGGTTAAGAACATAGTAAAAATTAATAAATGCAAAAGATTGGCAAAAAAAATTAAAATATTACTATTTTAATAAATAATTACGAATAGGTTGCAGTTTGGATACTATCTACGAATTTATTGCAGTCATTCACGCCCAAATTAGGCGTGACTATTCACGCCTAAATTAGGCGTGACTCGTCTGGTGTTGACACGTGGCACAAAAAATTAATAGTTTAACCGTAAAACTTTATAAGGCCATAACTTTTGACTCGGGTATCCGAATGAGGTAATTCTTTTTTTGATTCCACATAACTTTTCGAGATATACGCAATGACATCTCATTTGATATATTTTATCTCTCACAAACACAATTCAAATTTGCAACAATGATACTATAAAGATGGCACCAAAGTGGATTAACTCATCTATAAATAAGATGGCACCAAATTTCCTATTAAATACAAAACGCAATCAGCTTCTATTAAATACAAAACGCAATCAGCTTCTATTAAATACAAAACGCAATCAACACCTATAACATTAAATTCAAAATTCAAATAACCTCCAGCAAATTTATTTGAATTGGCGATAATCTGTAACCAACTCATAAAATTATAACGCAATCAGCTCCTATTAAATACAAAAACACAATCAACTCCTATTAAATACAAAATGCAATCAATTTATTGGAGGTTAGTTGAATTTTGAATTTAATGTTATAGTACCATTATTGGGCGTGAATGAGTGCAATATATTCGTAATTAGGTTCAAAACGGCAACTTATTCGTAATTATTTATTAAAAAAGTAATATTTTAATTATTAAAATATATACAAATTTATATAATATTCTACCAAGTGTTTAGAATATTTATTTAATTATTTTCTTTATTAATACAGATTTTTCAAATTGATTTTTGAGATTAAATCACAAATTAAATCCTTATTTTGTTTTTCTTATTAATAATAATTTTTAATTTTTTTTTTGGTGATACACTATATAATACAATTATTGCAAATTCGAATTGTGTTTGTGAGAGATAAAATATATCAAATGAGATGACTTTGCGTAGATCTCGAAAAGTTATGTGGAATCAAAAAAAGAATTACCTCATTCGGATACTCGAGTCAAAAGTTATGGCTTTTCAAAGTTTTACGGTTCGTAAATTGACTTTTTTGTCACGTGTCAACACCAGATGATTCACGCCTAAATTAGGCGTGAATGCCTTGGGAGTCACGCCTAATTTAGACGTAAATAGTCACGCCTAATTTGGGCGTGAATAAGTGCAATAGATTCGTAGATAGTTTCGAAACAGCTATGTATTCGTAATTATTTATTAAAATAATAATATTTTAATTTTTTTGCCGCAAAAGACTTTAGGTCCTAATGTTTTGACATCAAATTATATTGGTTTCAAGTTTAAAATTGTAAATCACAACATTGAGGATCAAAGGAACCCAAGAGAAGGTAAAGTCAAGCCAAGAAAGATAAAAAAAAATTCGTCATTTTATGCTCGCTGGCTTGCCCAGAAAACCCTATGTTAGCTTCTCCTTGCTGGCTTGCTCGCTTAAGTGAGCAAGACAAGCGAGCACGCCATTTTTCCTCACGGGCATCTTAAGCGAGCATGACTAGCAAGCCGTCCATGAATTAAAAAGCCCTTGGACTTTCACGTTTTAAAATGCACAAGTTAGGGTTTGTTGATCATTCTTGTGCGACCAGATACCTTTGGAGAGGCAGAAGAGCAGTTCTTTGGAGAAGAGGAAGGAGGAAAGCATCAAGATTTTACCATAGACATCATTTAATCAAGTTTTTTCATGAACTCTTCTTACTTTTCATCTCTTATTCTTGTTTCTATGAACATGTTAGGTTAGGCTTCTTTGTGTAGTTAGGGAGAGATGAAACCAATGGGTTCCTAACACAGTTTTATTCTTTCTTGTAATTGATATTTGTGTTTCACGTTACGCAATTAATCTGTTTTAATTTTTAAAGTTCATTTGTGATTTGGCCAATCTTGAATGAACAATAGAATCTTGCATGACAATAATGTTGGTGTCTTGATTCTGGTTGATTAATTGCTAGAGTTTGTATGATCTAGGTATAAGCTTACGAATTTTATGACGTGTGATTCTCGCTCTTAATGCTTGCTCTAGGAAAAAACACTAAAAGCGATTAGGGTTAATGAATAAAGTAAAGGATTTTCGCGGAGGATACATGTGGTTTATTCAAAGGATTAAATTACCAAGGGATTGGAGTTTAATTAATTTAGAAAGAATTGTCGATAATATGATATTGAATATTGATTGCATGAAAGAGTATAATTGTTAGGAAAACGTTGAAAAAATTGAATCCCTAACTACGCTTGATTTATTTGATCTCAAACTGTTGTTTCATGCGTTCTTGATTATTGTTCTTGATCTTGTTAATTGTTATTTTTAAAATTCTGTTTTAATTAATTTAAAATCATATTTTCAAAAACCTTA